TAATGATTTGGAGGTATTTTGAGCTGCAATTTTAGACACATTCTGGGCACACTATAGATTTATATTACATTTTGTGAAAGGGGGCATAATGTCACCTTTAACAAAGACAAAAAAATATATTGTAAAATATATATTGTTAGCTAATGCATTCAATAATGTTAACAAATGAGATCTTATTGTAAAGTATTATCTTCATTTATTTATTTAATTTTTACTCATGTAACCGTAACGGTATAAATTATCGCTTTCTGGTATAAATAAAAGTTAAACGGTGTTTTAATTAAGGTTTGCATGAGGCTATTAGAAAAAGTGGATTTAATTAAATTTTAATGTAACAAATGTAATATAAGGAATCATTTACAACGGGCTGTTGAATAGATGATTTGTCTATAACTGCATTTTAGTGGATGTGCAGCACAGATCAAATGATTTATGAAAAATCACAAACAAATATCAAGCAATGACTTTAACAAATTTTATTATTGCACACAAATCCATTGCAATTACTATGATAAAGGCAGCACAATATATACAGTTCACATACAGTGGGCTTTAGGAAGTAGTCACACCCTTTTCTTGAAATATTTTAGTATTCCTTCAATAACAATAAAATCAAAACATTTACAAATCAACAACCTTCTCTTCAATGAGAAATAAAGGGGAACTAGAAAAAAAAGTTTGATGACAAACTTTAAGTTGGCTTGAGAAAGCCGGACCAGAGCGTTTGAAGTTTTGAAGTTTGAATGAAGTTTTAAAGATAGATTAGAAAGAAAGAAAGAAAGATGGATAGATTAGTTAGAAAGAAATATAGATAGATAGATAGATAGATAGATAGATAGATAGATAGATAGATGTTTTCGGCAAGAATCTAACATGATTAGCATGTAGCTAGCTTGATGCTAATTTGATTAGCATGTAGTTAAGATGATTAGCATGTTGTTAGCATGATTAGCATGTAGCTAGCATCATAATAGCATGATTAGCATGTTGCTAGCATCATGCTAACGTGTTTTTATCAAGAAGCTAGCATGACTAGCATGTAGCTAGCATCATGCTAACCTGATTAGCATGTTGCTAGCATCATGCTAGCATGTTTTAGCAAGAAGCTAGAATGATTAGCATGTAGCTAGCATTATGCTAGCATGATTAGCATGTTGCTAGCATCATGTTAGCATGTTTTAGCAAGAAGCTAGCATGATTAGCATGTAGCTAGCATCATGCTACCATGATTAGCATGTAGCTAGCATCATAATAACATTATTAGCATGTTGTTAGCATCATGCTAACATGTTTTTAGCAAGAAGCTAACATCATTAGCATGTAGCTAGCATCAAGCTAGCATGATAAGCATGTTTTTAGCAAGAAGCTAGCATGACTAGCATGTAGCTAACATCATAATAGCATGATTAGCATGTTGCTAGCATCATGCTAGCATGTTTTAGCAAGAAGCTAGCATGATTAGCATGTAGCTAACATCATAATAGCATGATTAGCATGTTGCTAGCATTATGCTAGCATGTTTTTAGCAAGAAGCTAACATGATTAGCATGTAGCTAGCATCAAGCTAGCATGATTAGCATGTTTTTAGCAAGAAGCTAGCATGACTAGCATGTAGCTAACATCATAATAGCATGATTAGCATGTTGCTAGCATCATGCTAACATGTTTTTAGGAAGAAGCTAGCATGATTAGCATGTAGCTAGCATCATGCTAGCATGATTAGCATGTTGCTAGCAAGAAGCTAGCATGATTAACATGTAGCTAGCATCATGCTAGCATGATTAGCATGTAGCTAGCATCATAATAACATGATTAGCATGTTGCTAGCATCATGCTAGCATGTTTTTAGCAAGAAGCTAGCAGGATTAGCATGTAGCTAGCATCATGCTAGCATGATTAGCATGTAGCTAGCATCATAATAACATGATTAGCATGTTGCTAGCATCATGCTAGCATGTTTTTAGCAAGAAGCTAGCATGATTAGCATGTAGCTAGCATCATGCTAGCATGATTAGCATGTAGCTAGCATCATGCTAGCATGTTTTTAGCAAGAAGCTAGCATGATTAGCATGTAGCTAGCATCATGCTAGCATGATTAGCATGTAGCTAGCATCATGCTAGCATGTTTTTAACAAGAAGCTAACATGATTAGCAGAAAGCTAGCATGATTAGCATGTTATTAGCATCAAGAAAGAAAGAAAGAACGAAAGAGAAAGAAAGAATTTTTAGAAAGAAAGATGCATAGATTAGTTAGAAAGAAAGATGGATAGATTTGTTAGAAAGAAAGCTGGATAGATTAGTTAGAAAGAAAGATGGATAGATTTGTTAGAAAGAAAGAAAGAAAGAAAGAAAGAAAGAAAGAAAGAAAGAAAGAAAGAAAGAAAGAGAAAGAAAGTATTGTTAGAAAGAAAGATGGATAGATTACTTGGGTAGAAATAAAGAACGATAGATTTGTTAGAAAGAAAGATGGATAGATTAGTTAGAAAGAAAGATGTATAGATTTGTTAGAAAGAAAGATGGATAGAATTGTTAGAAAGAAAGATGGATAGATTAGTTAGGTAGAAAGAAAGAACGATAGATTTGTTAGAAAGAAAGAACGATAGATTATTTAGAAAGAAAGATGGATAGATTAGTTAGAAAGAAAGATGGATAGATTAGTTAGAAAAAAAGATGGATAGATTTGCTAGAAAGAAAGATGGATAGATTTGTTAGAAAGAAAGATGGATAGATTTGTTAGAAAGAAAGATGGATAGATTAGTTAGGTAGAAAGAAAGATGGATAGATTAGGTAGAAAGAAAGATGGATAGATTTGTTAGAAAGAAAGATGGATAGATTAGTTAGAAAGAAAAATGGATAGATTAGTTAGGTAGAAAGAAAGATGGATAGATTATGTAGAAAGAAAGATGGATAGATTTGTTAGAAAGAAAGATGGATAGATTAGTTAGAAAGAAAAATGGATAGATTTGTTAGAAAGAAAGATGGATAGATTAGGTAGAAAGAAAGATGGATAGATTTGTTAGAAAGAAAGATGGATAGATTAGTTAGAAAGAAAAATGGATAGATTAGTTAGGTAGAAAGAAAGATGGATAGATTAGGTAGAAAGAAAGATGGATAGATTTGTTAGAAAGAAAGATGGATAGATTAGGTAGAAAGAAAGATGGATAGATTTGTTAGAAAGAAAGATGGATAGATTAGTTAGAAAGAAAAATGGATAGATTAGTTAGGTAGAAAGAAAGATGGATAGATTAGGTAGAAAGAAAGATGGATAGATTTGTTAGAAAGAAAGATGGATAGATTAGGTAGAAAGAAAGATGGATAGATTTGTTAGAAAGAAAGATGGATAGATTAGGTAGAAAGAAAGATGGATAGATTAGGTAGAAAGAAAGATGGATAGATTAGGTAGAAAGAAAGATGGATAGATTTGTTAGAAAGAAAGATGGATAGATTAGTTAGAAAGAAAGATGGATAGATTTGTTAGAAAGAAAGATGGATAGATTTGTTAGAAAGAAAGATGGATAGATTTGTTAGAAAGAAAGATGGATAGATTAGTTAGGTAGAAAGAAAGATGGATAGATTAGGTAGAAAGAAAGATGGATAGATTTGTTAGAAAGAAAGATGGATAGATTAGTTAGGTAGAAAGAAAGATGGATAGATTAGGTAGAAAGAAAGATGGATAGATTAGGTAGAAAGAAAGATGGATAGATTAGGTAGAAAGAAAGATGGATAGATTTGTTAGAAAGAAAGATGGATAGATTAGGTAGAAAGAAAGATGGATAGATTAGGTAGAAAGAAAGATGGATAGATTAGGTAGAAAGAAAGATGGATAGATTTGTTAGAAAGAAAGATGGATAGATTAGTTAGAAAGAAAGATGGATAGATTTGTTAGAAAGAAAGATGGATAGATTTGTTAGAAAGAAAGATGGATAGATTTGTTAGAAAGAAAGATGGATAGATTAGTTAGGTAGAAAGAAAGATGGATAGATTAGGTAGAAAGAAAGATGGATAGATTTGTTAGAAAGAAAGATGGATAGATTAGTTAGGTAGAAAGAAAGATGGATAGATTAGGTAGAAAGAAAGATGGATAGATTAGGTAGAAAGAAAGATGGATAGATTAGGTAGAAAGAAAGATGGATAGATTTGTTAGAAAGAAAGATGGATAGATTAGGTAGAAAGAAAGATGGATAGATTAGGTAGAAAGAAAGATGGATAGATTTGTTAGAAAGAAAGATGGATAGATTAGGTAGAAAGAAAGATGGATAGATTAGTTAGAAAGAAAGATGGATAGATTTGTTAGAAAGAAAGATGGATAGATTTGTTAGAAAGAAAGATGGATAGATTTGTTAGAAAGAAAGATGGATAGATAGATAGATAGATAGATAGATAGATAGATAGATAGATAGATAGATAGATAGATAGATAGATAGATAGATAGATAGATAGATAGTTCATTAGTACATATAGAATGGTAGTTTAATTGAGTCTAGGGCTTCAGGGAATTTAGATTTGAGTTTTTGTTGTACGCTATTGGGCCACCGTAGTCTTGGCTCAATTTGACCATGCTGCAATGAAAGTCAATGGGATTTTTATGATTTTTAATATTAATTTTTAAGAAATCTGAAAGTCGAATCAGTCTAAAAAGATATAGCACACTAAGTCAGAACAGTCTGAAGGTCTGACCCGAGTTTGGAGTTTGTAGAGTCAAAGCTCTAGGAGGAGTTAGAGTCAGAAAATTTTGAGTAAGAATAATAATAATAATAATAATAATAAGTTTAAATAGGATTTCAGTAAGTTGGCTTTCTCAAGCCAACTTAATTAATACTTTCTGAAGGCACTATATAATTATAATGTGCACACTATTTCAACCCAAATACTGATACCTGCCACTAAAACATTAAAAAACGACCAGCCGTCACAGGCTTATAATGAAGCAAATCTGAGCAAATAATTAAACCTCTGTCAGTGATGTATCTCTGGGTTCTCTCTTTTCGACTTTATTCTATGGCAAGCAAATATGAAAGCCAGAGAGAAGACAAACAGCAGCCGGTATTTCTCCCTGTAACAAAGAAATAACCCAAAAGAAATGATCACATACAGTTTGGAAGGGGCAGGTGACCGTTAAACATCGACTACGAGTCAAAAATCAGCATAACAATACATTTCCATCTTCTAGCACTTTTGTTCTTTCTCTGCTTCATGCAAATGTATCATATATTGTCTTTCACATCAAGTACAAAAATATATTTCTATTGACAAAAGCAAACGTCAGTAAATATTAGTTATCTTCGGACGTGTACAAAGTTACTAATTGGTAAGTTTTGTTACTCATATAAGCTTTTAACATCACATCAGCACATGGAAGTAGATGCCTTACAATGTTTAAACACAGAATGAGTGACTCTTGAGTGACTCGGATACTTGAAAACAGAAGAACCGCTTGTTTTTCTGCCTGGCAAACATATGAAAAGGAACTGAAAAAATACTCTCATAGTTCATGTGTAGTTTAGGCACATACACTAGCTGGAAGGTGAAGTGTGTCACACAAACAGATTGCCGTTTCCCCCTTCAGAGCAAGAAAATGTATCTTAGTGACACACTTCACCTCTGACACAGAAACACACACTGCTTAAATGGACGAGCGTCTCATCCGTAGTTATATGTGAAGTTGTATGTGCTGGGCTCTTTCGGCACGGGGGGCGGAGCTTCGGGGATTGTGATGTTCTCCAGGTCCAGGAGGCGGAGCTTCATCTCCATGCTCATTAATGTGTCAAGGTCACTTCTTGTGAGATCACTGCCCAACTCCTTCCCCAGCAGAGCTGAGAGTCCATCGGTCCAGATGCAGTACTGCTCCACAGAAACACATGTCATTTATCTAACGCATATTTACAGAATAAAGTGTCAAATATCACATTCTAAACAACAGAATCCACTGTGGTCACATGGCCTATACAATGTATGCGTGTGACGTCACCGTCGGCCGGGGTGACTGCATGTTACACACACTGAGTGGCAGAAACACACACTGAGTGGAAAAAACACACACACTGAGGAGCAGAAACACACACTGAGGAATGGAAACACACACTGAGTGGCAGAAACACATACTGAGTGGCAGAAACACACTGAGCGGCAGAAACACACTGAGCGGCAGAAACACACACACACACTGGGTGGCAGAAACACACTGAGGGGCAGAAACACGCACTTAGTGGCAGAAACACACACACACACACACTGAGTGGCAGAAACACTGAGGGGCAGAAACACTGAGCGGCAGAAACACTGAGGGGCAGAAACACTGAGCGGCAGAAACACTGAGCGGCAGAAACACTGAGCGGCAGAAACACTGAACGGCAGAAACACTGAACGGCAGAAACACTGAGCGGCAGAAACACTGAGCGGCAGAAACACTGAGGGGCAGAAACACTGAACGGCAGAAACACTGAGCGGTAGAAACACTGAGCGGCAGAAACACTGAGCGGTAGAAACACTGAACGGCAGAAACACTGAGCGGTAGAAACACTGAGCGGCAGAAACACTGAGCGGCAGAAACACTGAGCGGCAGAAACACTGAGCGGCAGAAACACTGAACGGCAGAAACACTGAGGGGCAGAAACACTGAGCGGCAGAAACACTGAGCGGCAGAAACACTGAGGGGCAGAAACACTGAACGGCAGAAACACTGAGCGGCAGAAACACTGAGCGGCAGAAACACTGAACGGCAGAAACACTGAGCGGCAGAAACACTGAGCGGCAGAAACACTGAGCGGCAGAAACACTGAGCGGCAGAAACACTGAGGGGCAGAAACACTGAACGGCAGAAACACTGAGCGGCAGAAACACTGAGCGGCAGAAACACTGAGGGGCAGAAACACTGAGCGGCAGAAACACTGAGGGGCAGAAACACTGAGGGGCAGAAACACTGAGCGGCAGAAACACTGAGCGGCAGAAACACTGAGGGGCAGAAACACTGAGGGGCAGAAACACTGAGAGGCAGAAACACTGAGCGGCAGAAACACTGAGCGGCAGAAACACTGAGGGGCAGAAACACTGAGGGGCAGAAACACTGAGCGGCAGAAACACTGAGCGGCAGAAACACTGAGCGGCAGAAACACTGAGGGGCAGAAACACTGAGGGGCAGAAACACTGAGGGGCAGAAACACTGAGCGGCAGAAACACTGAGCGGCAGAAACACTGAGCGGCAGAAACACTGAGGGGCAGAAACACTGAGGGGCAGAAACACTGAGCGGCAGAAACACTGAGCGGCAGAAACACTGAGGGGCAGAAACACTGAGGGGCAGAAACACTGAGCGGCAGAAACACTGAGCGGCAGAAACACTGAGGGGCAGAAACACTGAGGGGCAGAAACACTGAGCGGCAGAAACACTGAGCGGCAGAAACACTGAGGGGCAGAAACACTGAGGGGCAGAAACACTGAGCGGCAGAAACACTGAGCGGCAGAAACACTGAGCGGCAGAAACACTGAGGGCAGAAACACTGAGCGGCAGAAACACTGAGCGGCAGAAACACTGAGGGGCAGAAACACTGAGGGGCAGAAACACTGAGGGCAGAAACACTGAGCGGCAGAAACACTGAGCGGCAGAAACACTGAGCAGCAGAAACACTGAGGGGCAGAAACACTGAGGGGCAGAAACACTGAGCGGCAGAAACACTGAGCGGCAGAAACACTGAGGGGCAGAAACACTGAGCGGCAGAAACACTGAGCGGCAGAAACACTGAGGGGCAGAAACACTGAGGGGCAGAAACACTGAGGGGCAGAAACACTGAGCGGCAGAAACACTGAGCGGCAGAAACACTGAGCGGCAGAAACACTGAGCGGCAGAAACACTGAGCGGCAGAAACACTGAGGGGCAGAAACACTGAGCGGCAGAAACACTGAGCGGCAGAAACACTGAGGGGCAGAAACACTGAGGGCAGAAACACTGAGCGGCAGAAACACTGAGCGGCAGAAACACTGAGGGGCAGAAACACTGAGGGGCAGAAACACTGAGGGGCAGAAACACTGAGCGGCAGAAACACTGAGCGGCAGAAACACTGAGGGGCAGAAACACTGAGCGGCAGAAACACTGAGGGCAGAAACACTGAGGGCAGAAACACTGAGGGGCAGAAACACTGAGCGGCAGAAACACTGAGCGGCAGAAACACTGAGGGCAGAAACACTGAGCGGCAGAAACACTGAGCGGCAGAAACACTGAGGGGCAGAAACACTGAGCGGCAGAAACACTGAGGGGCAGAAACACTGAGGGGCAGAAACACTGAGGGCAGAAACACTGAGCGGCAGAAACACTGAGGGGCAGAAACACTGAGGGCAGAAACACTGAGGGGCAGAAACACTGAGGGGCAGAAACACTGAGGGGCAGAAACACTGAGGGGCAGAAACACTGAGCGGCAGAAACACTGAGCGGCAGAAACACTGAGGGGCAGAAACACTGAGGGGCAGAAACACTGAGCGGCAGAAACACTGAGCGGCAGAAACACTGAGCGGCAGAAACACTGAGCGGCAGAAACACTGAGGGGCAGAAACACTGAGGGGCAGAAACACTGAGCGGCAGAAACACTGAGCGGCAGAAACACTGAGGGGCAGAAACACTGAGCGGCAGAAACACTGAGCGGCAGAAACACTGAGGGGCAGAAACACTGAGGGGCAGAAACACTGAGCGGCAGAAACACTGAGCGGCAGAAACACTGAGGGGCAGAAACACTGAGGGGCAGAAACACTGAGCGGCAGAAACACTGAGGGGCAGAAACACTGAGGGCAGAAACACTGAGCGGCAGAAACACTGAGCGGCAGAAACACTGAGCGGCAGAAACACTGAGCGGCAGAAACACTGAGGGGCAGAAACACTGAGCGGCAGAAACACTGAGCGGCAGAAACACTGAGGGCAGAAACACTGAGGGGCAGAAACACTGAGCGGCAGAAACACTGAGGGGCAGAAACACTGAGCGGCAGAAACACTGAGGGGCAGAAACACTGAGCGGCAGAAACACTGAGCGGCAGAAACACTGAGCGGCAGAAACACTGAGGGGCAGAAACACTGAGCGCAGAAACACTGAGGGGCAGAAACACTGAGCGGCAGAAACACTGAGGGCAGAAACACTGAGCGGCAGAAACACTGAGCGGCAGAAACACTGAGGGGCAGAAACACTGAGCGGCAGAAACACTGAGGGGCAGAAACACTGAGCGGCAGAAACACTGAGGGGCAGAAACACTGAGCGGCAGAAACACTGAGCGGCAGAAACACTGAGGGGCAGAAACACTGAGGGGCAGAAACACTGAGGGGCAGAAACACTGAGGGGCAGAAACACTGAGGGGCAGAAACACTGAGGGCAGAAACACTGAGCGGCAGAAACACTGAGGGGCAGAAACACTGAGGGGCAGAAACACTGAGGGGCAGAAACACTGAGGGGCAGAAACACTGAGCGGCAGAAACACTGAGCGGCAGAAACACTGAGCGGCAGAAACACTGAGCGGCAGAAACACTGAGGGGCAGAAACACTGCCGGCAGAAACACTGAGCGGCAGAAACACTGAGCGGCAGAAACACTGAGCGGCAGAAACACTGAGGGGCAGAAACACTGAGGGGCAGAAACACTGAGGGGCAGAAACACTGAGCGGCAGAAACACTGAGGGGCAGAAACACTGAGGGGCAGAAACACTGAGGGGCAGAAACACTGAGCGGCAGAAACACTGAGCGGCAGAAACACTGAGGGGCAGAAACACTGAGCGGCAGAAACACTGAGGGGCAGAAACACTGAGGGGCAGAAACACTGAGCGGCAGAAACACTGAGGGGCAGAAACACTGAGCGGCAGAAACACTGAGCGGCAGAAACACTGAGGGCAGAAACACTGAGGGGCAGAAACACTGAGGGGCAGAAACACTGAGGGGCAGAAACACTGAGGGCAGAAACACTGAGCGGCAGAAACACTGAGGGGCAGAAACACTGAGGGGCAGAAACACTGAGGGCAGAAACACTGAGCGGCAGAAACACTGAGGGGCAGAAACACTGAGCGGCAGAAACACTGAGGGGCAGAAACACTGAGCGGCAGAAACACTGAGGGGCAGAAACACTGAGGGGCAGAAACACTGAGCGGCAGAAACACTGAGGGGCAGAAACACTGAGGGGCAGAAACACTGAGCGGCAGAAACACTGAGCGGCAGAAACACTGAGCGGCAGAAACACTGAGGGGCAGAAACACTGAGCGGCAGAAACACTGAGGGGCAGAAACACTGAGCGGCAGAAACACTGAGGGGCAGAAACACTGAGCGGCAGAAACACTGAGGGCAGAAACACTGAGGGGCAGAAACACTGAGGGGCAGAAACACTGAGGGCAGAAACACTGAGGGGCAGAAACACTGAGGGGCAGAAACACTGAGGGCAGAAACACTGAGCGGCAGAAACACTGAGGGGCAGAAACACTGAGCGGCAGAAACACTGAGCGGCAGAAACACTGAGCGGCAGAAACACTGAGCGGCAGAAACACTGAGCGGCAGAAACACTGAGCGGCAGAAACACTGAGCGGCAGAAACACTGAGGGGCAGAAACACTGAGCGGCAGAAACACTGAGGGCAGAAACACTGAGCGGCAGAAACACTGAGCGGCAGAAACACTGAGGGGCAGAAACACTGAGGGGCAGAAACACTGAGGGGCAGAAACACTGAGCGGCAGAAACACTGAGCGGCAGAAACACTGAGCGGCAGAAACACTGAGCGGCAGAAACACTGAGCGGCAGAAACACTGAGGGGCAGAAACACTGAGCGGCAGAAACACTGAGCGGCAGAAACACTGAGGGGCAGAAACACTGAGCGGCAGAAACACTGAGCGGCAGAAACACTGAGGGCAGAAACACTGAGCGGCAGAAACACTGAGCGGCAGAAACACTGAGGGGCAGAAACACTGAGGGGCAGAAACACTGAGCGGCAGAAACACTGAGCGGCAGAAACACTGAGGGGCAGAAACACTGAGCGGCAGAAACACTGAGGGGCAGAAACACTGAGGGGCAGAAACACTGAGCGGCAGAAACACTGAGGGGCAGAAACACTGAGGGGCAGAAACACTGAGCGGCAGAAACACTGAGGGGCAGAAACACTGAGCGGCAGAAACACTGAGGGGCAGAAACACTGAGGGGCAGAAACACTGAGCGGCAAAAACACTGAGGGGCAGAAACACTGAGCGGCAGAAACACTGAGGGCAGAAACACTGAGGGGCAGAAACACTGAGGGCAGAAACACTGAGGGGCAGAAACACTGAGGGGCAGAAACACTGAGCGGCAGAAACACTGAGGGGCAGAAACACTGAGGGGCAGAAACACTGAGGGGCAGAAACACTGAGGGCAGAAACACTGAGCGGCAGAAACACTGAGGGGCAGAAACACTGAGCGGCAGAAACACTGAGCGGCAGAAACACTGAGCGGCAGAAACACTGAGCGGCAGAAACACTGAGCGGCAGAAACACTGAGGGGCAGAAACACTGAGCGGCAGAAACACTGAGCGGCAGAAACACTGAGCGGCAGAAACACTGAGCGGCAGAAACACTGAGCGGCAGAAACACACGACAGAAACACTGAGGGGCAGAAACACTGAGGGGCAGAAACACTGAGGGGCAGAAACACTGAGCGGCAGAAACACACGGCAGATGTGCGTTTCACATTTATTTATCCAAACAGATCAAATGTGACAACTATATCTGTTCAAAAACAAAGATTGAGCCACAGATAGAGTTTAGTTATTAACAAACAGTTACTGAACATTTGCATTCTTAACAGAAGATGTGACATAGTTGTGTTTTAATTGTGCTGTTTTTCAGACTTACCTCATATTTGTTGGGTGCCACAAAGTTGAGAGCTTCATCAGGATCATATAGGATGGAAAACGCCAACTCTAACACTTCCTGCAAACACAGGACAGTTCAAACACTTCGGGTGTGTTGTTCATCATGCAAACACTAACCGTAACACTACAATCTCAGAATGTTTTCTCAGAGTTATGAACAAACACTCTTCCAGTGTAGTTAAAAGTCCCCCAGTGGTGAAAATCCAGCTTTTACTGTTGTTTATATGTCTGTGTTGTGTTTTTAATATGCTTTAAGACAAACCATGTGTAAATTCATAATTTGACAGCATTACTGATTATTTTCTCATTAAAACTGCAGTGAACCAAAGACAGTCTCAAAAACACGGTTTGAAATCGCTGGTGTTTCTGACGTCACAAACTACCTTGTAACCAATCAGATCAACGTGTGACCGTCAACCAGTTCTCTGCTACAGAGTACAGCTTTAAGAGGGAGAAAAACCTTGACCAGACCCTGCCATGTCTGTATTTGTATTTGTTTCATAAATGGAATAATGAGGAGCTATTGTAAAATATTCTGTGAAAATAAAGCCTGGTAATGTGCTGTGAAATCCTGCAAAACACTCAAAACACAGTTGTGTTCAATCGTGCACTAGAGGATGAAGATAAAGCTCTGACCTTGTTCTGTTTGAGCGCGCTCTTCTCCTTCATGTGTGGACAGTCTTTCCCGGTCAGAACGGCTTTCATATCCGACACAGGAACTGTGTGACAACAACAGAGCTTTAGCTCACTGTTATGAAGGTAAAATGATATCAAAGAAGCGCAAGGTAAGACTTGAGAAAGTGATCATAAGATTGTAAGCATAAATTCAATTTATATATTTTGGCGAAAAAAACGTACCAAAAAGTGTAAGCGTGGAAAAATAGAAGACAGAAGAATCATAATAATATTTATCTTGACTTAGCATGAAGCTGCAGCTTTACAGTACACAAATTACACCTACGAATAACAGTAAAATGTTGCAAATATTTTTTCCATCATTATTTCCACAATTTTCATACAATTTATGAAGTCGGCATCCTATTCATAAGCAGTAAGGAAAGTTTGGCATATTTTGATATGAATTCAACCTCAAAAATCACATAAAAAGAACACGCATGTCCATTATAGCTCCCTGCCGCATCACATCGAGACACCCGAAAGAAGTCATATAACCATTTCAATAACTCTGAAGCTGTTCCGTTAAGCTAAAAAAAACTGCATAGAATCCCTTTAATTTACGCTTGCAATCTTATATACACTTTCACAAATCTTACCCTGCGCATGCGATTCTCCATGGCATCAAACTTTCATTAACTGTTCACCAGAGTGTTTGTGTATGGACTCACTCTTATCGGTGAGCAGTTCGAACGCCACTTCGCCCTGCGGAGACTCGTCCAGATCTCCATAGTGAAGGACCTTGTGATTCAACGACAGACGGCAGAACCAGAACTTCTCTGAGAGGAAATAAAAACCATCAGAAAACACATTAAAGGGATAGTTCACCCAAAAATTGAAAATTAGGCCATGATTTACTCCTTAAATCATCCTAACAGGGGTTAACAACTTTACAACTTTTATGATGATAGATGCACTTTTATGAAGGATAGATGCGCTTTTATGATGGATAGATGCACTTTTATGATGATAGATGCACTTTTATGACGATAGATTCACTTTTATAGTGATAGATGCACTTTTATAATGGAAAGATGCGCTTTTATGATGATAGGGCACTTTTATGATGACTTTTATGACGATAGATGCACTTTTATGATGATAGATGCACTTTTATGGTGATAAATGCACTTTTATGGTGATAGATTCACTTTTTATGACGATAGATGCACTTTTATGGTGATAGATGCACTTTTATCATGGATAGATGCACTTTTATGATGATAGATCCACTTTTATCATGGATAAATGCACTTTTATGATGATAGATGCACTTTTATGATGATAGATCCACTTTTATAATGGATAAATGCACTTTTATGATGATAGATGTACTTTTATCATGGATAGATGACTTTTATGATGGATAGATGCACTTTATGATGATAGATGCACTTTTATGATGGACAGATGCACTTTTATCATGGATAGATGCGCTTTTATGATGGACAGATGCACTTTTATCATGGATAGATGCACTATTATGATGGATAGATGATAGATAGATGCACTTTGATAGATGCACTTTTATGATGGATAGATGCGCTTTTATGATGGATGGATGCACTTTTATAATGGATAGATGCGCTTTTATGATGGATAGATGCACTTTTATGATGAATATATGCACTTTTATGATGGACAGATGCACTTTTATGATGGATAGATGCTCTTTTATGATGGATAGATGCACTTTTATAATGGATGGATAGACTTTTATGATGGATAGATGCGCTATTATGATGGATGTGCTTTAATGATGGATAGATGCACTTTTATGATGGATAGATGCTCTTTTATGATGGATAGATGCACTTTTATGATGATAGATGCACTTTTATGATGGACAGATGCACTTTTATGATGGATAGATGCACTTTTATAATGGATAGATGCGCTTTTATGATGGATAGATGCACTTTTATGATGAATATATGCACTTTTATGATGGACAGATGCACTTTTATGATGGATGGATGCACTTTTATAATGGATAGATGCGCTTTTATGATGGATAGATGCACTTTTATGATGAATATATGCACTTTTATGATGGACAGATGCACTTTTATGATGGATAGATGCTCTTTTATGATGGATAGATGCACTTTTATAATGGATGGATAGACTTTTATGATGGATAGATGCGCTATTATGATGGATGTGCTTTAATGATGGATAGATGCACTTTTATGATGGATAGATGCTCTTTTATGATGGATAGATGCACTTTTATGATGATAGATGCACTTTTATGATGGACAGATGCACTTTTATGATGGATAGATGCTCTTTTATAATGGTCACTGCCATTATAAAGCTTGGAAAAGCCAGGACATTTATTGGTATAACTCTGATTGTATTTGTCTGAAAGAAGAAAGTCATATACCTAGGATTACACCAGGGTGAGTAAATCATGGTCTAATTACAGTTTTTTTCGATTGCTAAACCACAGTGGAGCACAACTGGAGCTACATGTGCAAAACTCTAACTCCAGTCTGCACAGCAGCAGTTCATGTGGACCAAACTCTAGTTCGTCTTTCATTGCTTGAACACAGTTTTCAAAACTCTACACACTTATCCCATGACTTTAACCACAACCTGCACAACACTGTGGATTTACAGCACTTTGTTCAAATGCTAACACACTGCTGTCAAAACTGTGAACCACTCATTCAAAACAGAATAAATTTCAGCCTTGTGCCTTTCACACACTGCTGACTTTCAAACAATTTCAGCTGAAAGGATGAAAACTTGTGGCCTAATGCTTGAGAGAGGCAGGGTTACAGTATTACAGTATGTACTTTTAGTTTCTACCTTTTTTTCTCATTACCGTAATTCTGTAAATTACTACAGCCTATTGAAGCAAACTGCTAATTTTCAATTGTTATGTTCTAAAACTGTAAAAATATCAAATGAAAAAATGTCACTGTTTTCTTTGAAGAAAATATGACTTTGTATGAAGTGTGAAATTGTTGAAACTGCAAAGATAAAAAGTTTGTATTTTCTGTATTGGTGTTTGATGCTACTGTTTTTCCTCTCAGTGTGTTCTGAGTGACAGTGTGTGTTATCTCAGTGAGGGTTGTGCATAGTATTGTGCACACTGAGCCTGTTTTGAGCCATGTGTTAAGAGTTGTGCTCAGGTGACTGTTGGTAATGCAGACTGTAGTTAGAGTTTTGCACATTTAGCTCCAGTCGTGCTCACTGTCGTTTAGCAATCGAAAAAAAATGTAAAATGCTTGGGTGAACTATCCTTTTAAATGAGTGACGTCAGCAGAAGTGAGGTTCACCTTGTCTCCGTCTGTTGCCGAGTTTGCGGAAGCAGCTTCCCTCACACAGACGGTTCAGTCTCTGCTGTTTGATCAACTCCAGGATCTCCGGCTGGATCCGCTCACGGAGCTCACTGACGGATACAGAACACACACACATCAGAGGATTTCAAGCCTTCTCGCTGACGGACAAAAAAAAACACACACACACACACACACACACCAGAGGATTTCAAGCTTTCTCACTGAAGGACACAGAAAACACACACACATCAGAGGATCTCAAGGATCTCACACATACATCTGAGCAGGTCATGTGACGACGAGCAGCTGTGGAACCATTGGCTAACCTTTACATACTCTATGTTATAAAGGCCCGTTTCTGTCCCATAAGAAACAAAATCATGCTTTGGTAAATCACAAGTATGACATAAAGAGTCAAAATTATGACATACTAAGTTTAAGTTATAGCATAAAGGACATAAAAAGTAGAAAATTTGACATACTAAATCAAAAATATGACTTAAAAATTATGACAACTTGTCATATTTTTAAGTTAATTTTAACATAAAATTTCAATTTAGACTTTTATTCTCATAATTATTACTTTTAATTCTTATAATTTCAAAGAGAAGATCCCGCACACTATCCAAACTTGCATATCACAAACTTTTTATTCAACAACATTTCGGTCTCACAACCTTCATCAGGTTTACACAATTTACAACCCCATCACATTTGAAGACAAAAAACATGACCACTAAACGGGCTACACTTGGAACCACTTTAACAAATTGTGGGCACATATTTAACACCACATCAACGTGTTTATATACAATTACAATAGTCATTGAAAATACAAGGCAATAAAAATAAAAACAGTACAATATAATTTATAACATCACATGTTATGTGGCTTGTCTTAAATGTCGTGGCTTGTGGCACATGGCTTGTCTTAAATGTCGTTTTCATCCGACATTTTTAAGAGCCAGTTCTATAGACTGCGAAGAATTTGTCATTCAGATGCCGATTTTATTGAAAAGTCTAATATTATGAAAAATAATATTAACCCTTTAGAATGGGTCAATGAAGCATTTAATAATGCTTCTCTAAAAAAGACGTGGTCGGAATTGTTGAAAAAAAAAAGACTAAATAAGCAAGAAAATATTCTTTCACTTGTATTACGACACATTCAACTAAGTCTCATATGATAAAATCTATTTTTAAAAAACATTGGCATTTGCTGTCTTCGGATCCAGAGTTGAGTGACATTTATCCTCCATTGAATGTGCATAAACTCGCTAGAAATTTTAAGGACTCTTTGGTACATGCTCGCTTTCAAAGTGTTAGCCCTCGTGCATCTCAGAGTTTACTTAGTCCTATAACAAAATGTAACAATACTTTTAAAACACATGTTTTCTGTCATCCAAGAACTGGTAAAAAATATAAAATTAAATCTGTGATCACTTGTGAGTTTCTACTCATATTGTGTACTTGATTCGTTGACCTTGTGGTTTAGGATATGTGGGTAAAACGTCACGTCAATTGAAACAAAGAATTAGTAAACATAAAAGCTCGATCAAAAGAAAAGATACAAATTATCCAGTTGCGGCTCGTTTTTTAACCTTTAATCATGACTTTTCCTCATTATGATTTTGTGGGATTGAAAGAGTGAATATGCCACCTAGAAGTGAATTGCTCTTGCAGAGACGTGAACTTTTTGGGATTTTCACTCTCCAGACTTTATCCCCCAGAGGAATGAACGATGAAGCATTGTTTAATGTGATGTTATTAATTATATTGTACTGTTTTTATTTTTATTGCCTTGTATTTTCAATGAGTATTGTTATTGTATAGAAACACGCTGATGTGGTGATAATCATGTGCCCACAATTTGTTAAAGTGGTTACAGGTGTAGCCCGTTTAGTGGTCATGTTTTTTGTCTTCAAATGTGATGGGGTTGTAAATTGTGTAAACCTGATGAAGGTTGTGAGACCGAAACGTTGTTGAATAAAAAGTTTGTGATATTCAAGTTTGGATAGTGTGCGGGATCTTCTCTTTGGCACATTTTCGACTGATTTTTTTTGGTCGTTTTTTCCTACGCACCTACCAATTGCAGGTGTGCGATGTTTTTTTTTTTTTCATTTTATAATTCTCATAATTTCAAAATAGTGTCATAATTCTAATACTTGAAAATCATAAATATGACTTTTTAACTCAATTTCAACTTTTTTATTATTGTAATATTAGTTTTTTATTCAAGTCATTTTGACTTAGTGTTTCATAATTCCATGCTATATATTTGACATTTTATTTCATAAATTTGACTTTTATGTCATAATTATGACTTTGGATGTCAACATTTCAACTTTTTATTACATAATCATGATTTACCAGAGAATGACATTTTTTTTCTTATGTGGTGAAATGAGCTTCTATAATATGTTGTAATGTTTTCAAACATAATTAAATGTATTACAAAATGATTGCTTGTAGAGAAGAAATGTACATGGTTACAAAGAAAATTATGCAAATAAATTTACACTTGCTCACTTCATGTATTTTCTGAAGAACACACACTGGCATTATGCAAGTTCAGAATCGCATCTGTACATTATGGGAGGCGACTGGAAGTGGAAGAGTCTTAAACTCACATTATGGGAGGCGACTGGAAGTCGTCTTGGCTCATTCTCTCAGACTGACGCAGACGCAGGATCTCAGAGTAACTCAAACTGCGCAGTTTCACCCGCAGCTGCTCCAGTGACGGCGGCTTCATGGCCAGAGCTCTGGTGATCTGCTCACGCACGACGGTCATCACCTGAAACACACACACACAAACAGTCACTAACCCTACCCATCACATACATACTCTAACCCTAACCCTATCCATCACACACACTCAAATACACACACACACACACACACACACTAACCTGACCCCTAAACCTACACACACACACACACACACACTCACCTTGTTGAAATCTTCCGCAGTGGCCCTCATCTCTTTCCAGGTCTTGTTGAGCAGTTGAATACACACACAGAAGAACTCTTCCCAGGCGTGCTCATGCGTGAAGAACATCGGATGGAAGTCGTTACAGCCTTCATTCGCTGCACAGACAAACCGGTTCATGGTTACATTTACACAGGCCTCTCTTTACGTCCACACACACACACACACAAACTGCAGAAACAGCTGTTGTTTCTAAAAATGTAACAAATCAGAATATTGATGTCTGTGTTTACACTTGATCACTGTGATCCGATTAAGAAGAGGGATCATCAGGACATTATCGGATCTGTATTTCCCGCATAATATCGAAAATAAGTCTGTGATGGAAAAATGGCCCCAGTGAAAAGTCGGCCTGAAGTGGTGGGGATTCTTTCAAAAACTGTTTTCAGTCGCGTTTCAAATCCCGTAAAACAAGAAGGTTGCAAATAACAATACATCGCACAGATAACACGACACGACTTACGCAGTTCTCCGACCTGTAGAAGGTCACACAGCATACGCGTCAGCTCAATCGCACAGCGCCCGAACGGACACTCGTGTTTATCCTCTCGACTGCTGTTCTCCAGGACTATCTGAAACACAGGCCATGTGACAAAAAGTTTTCAGCACATAATGATGACATTTAGGTCCTAATTTTGACTTTTTATGTCATTTTTTTAAACTTAGTATTTCAACGAAACTTTTGTAAACTTTTATTCTCATAGTGGTAGCACTTTATTTTACAGACCTGTTCCCCATGTACATCGTATGTACTCATTATAGTAATTACAATAACTGGGTAATATTAACTGAGTACTAACCCTGAATCTAACCTTAACCCCTGTCGTTACCTTATTTTACTTAATAAAAAAAATAGTGTCACCTCACAGTAACAATTTTTCTCATAATTTTAAGTTACAACAGAAACATAAAGTCAGAAATATCAGTCCATCATGTAAAGTGATCACATCTCTACAGATTTTAAGCTTTCCTACATTTAGACATTAGGTCAGTTTGTAATAAAAAAAAAAAAGTAATATAATGTCTGTACACTCCCGAATAAGGTTTAGTCTTGTGGTTTTGATTTAAAGGGATACTTCACTCAAAAATGAAAAATTCTGTCATCATTTACTCACCCTCAAGTTGTTGCAAACCTGTATGAGTTTCTTTTTCTGCTAAACACAAAGGAAGATATTATGAAGAATGACTGGAACCAAACGTTTGTTTGGCGCCATTGACTTCCATAGTAGAAAATACATACTATGGAAGTCAATGGAGCCAAAGTTTCAATCGTTCTTCAAAATATATTCCTTTGTGTTCATCAGAAGAAAGAAACTCATACAGGATTGCAACAACTTGAGGATGAGTAAATGATGACAGATGTTTTGGGGGAGTATCCCTTTAACCCTTGGATTGATTACTGTACCTGGTTTGGGACTCACAAAATGAGGACAAATATCCTCACACCACACCACAATCTGACATCCCACTCTTTGAGGAGCTGTTTGTTGTTATACTTTTGTGATCAATGAAAGCGCATGATACTGCAAAATTATGGGGCTCCATTTGTGCCAAAAATAAGCAGTGGTGTGTGAATTTGGCAACAATGCAGTGCATTACAGTGAAGTTATTGAAAATTTGTCATAAATAAAAATCATAAAAATTATGAAAAAACTAAATAAGTGTTGTAGTATAACCAGCAGGACAGCAGCGGTCTGTGAACTGAATTTGGTGACACTGTAGTGTGTGACAGTGAAGTGATTGACTGTTTTCGGGTTATTGCACTTTGCAGATGGTCCCCTCGGAAAATTAGGTTGTGGCTACTCGTCTACGCTACTACGATTAAAATGAGGTGTTATTTGTGTATAACAATGTTTAGCTCATGAGTTTGACCTGGGAAGTTCGAATCTGTGAATTTATTGCCAACTTTACTCAACTTGATGAAGTTGAAGTAAAGACGACAGAAAGAGATGACAGAACAAGACGACATCTAGGTAGATGACGGAACTAGAGGACAGAGCAAGATGACATAAACAGAGAACATACATATCAACATACACTAATTTATCTGAACAAATAGGCGATATCTGTTGTCCAGGACAAATGTAAAGTACAAAGCACAAAGCAGTCGACTGATTTTTGGCACAAATGGAACCCCATAAAAGATTAACATTCATCCTTGTTCACAGCGATTTTTATTTCCTTCTTTCTCTTTTTGTAACTCAGGCTCTATTCAAACATGCTTTGACGCTTTGATAATGTTACTTGTGTTTGATCCTGGTATCTAAATACTATAATTCACTCTGATGGATATCTGACTAATAGTATACAATAATATTTTAGCACACAATGCTTGAGAAAATACATAAAAAGAGGTAATGGTTATGAAAGTGAGCTGTTACTCTGATATACGTGTCCTGGTGTAGTTTGGCGAGGTACAGCATGTTGTCGAGCGCCAGCATTCCCGGAGGCGTCTGAGTGAAATCCATGGCAGGATTCATTGGATTCTATGCACAAAACTATCACTATCACTGATCTGTCATTAAAACATCACATTACACACATCAGCACATCACTATAACTGATCCATCGTTAAATAATCACATCACACACTTCACACACATCACTATCACAGATCATAATGAAACCATTACATCACACACATCAGCGTCTGTTTTGGAAAGGAAGTGTAATTATCTCTCGTGATTAAACATCATCTTCTGAATATGAGACAGAAAGCAAACAGACTCACGGTGAAGCCCAGCATCTTGTAGTCTTTAGTGTAGATGGCCTTTCTCTTCTCCGTGCCGCCCGGGTCACTGTCTCCTTCAAATGCGATTCTTCGGAGTTCAAATATGATATCTCTCTGTGTCTGAAGAGTTCAAGCATACATAATTCAAGCAGTGTGAAGATTATAAAAGAACACAACTTTCCCAAGTATCTTCCCAGACAGCAAACTGACATTGAATCAACGTGGAAACGACGTCTCTCATGACATTGAAACAACGTTGATTTTGCTCATCGAATTAACGTTGAACCAACGTCAGACGTGGCATTCTTCAAAGCTAAATAAAAATCGAAAATTGTTTTGCTTTCATAACGTTGAAACAACGCGTTGATTTCAAGTTGATTTTCCGTTAGTTTTGAAAGAATGACGCGTCTGACGTTGGTTCAACGTTAATTCGATGAGCAAAACTATGTCAGATCAACGTTGTTTCGATGTCATATTTCCACGTTGATTCAATGTCAGTTTGCTATCTGGGTTGGAGAACGTTGAAAACAAATCGGTAATGTTTTGCGTTTCATGCCATGATTATGCTGGCCTAAGTTTATATAAGGGATTTCTACAGTCAATCATGTTACCAATGTTCAAATGTTTATTGTTTCCCAAAATCATAGTTCTAACAAACATTCGCAAACAGCATCACTTTGTGTTTGAACTTGACCCGTGTTAGCAGGGGCGGAGTGGGACCAAAAAATCTACCGGGAAATTTCGTAGACCACCGGCCCTCGTCGCCGGCACGATTTCACTTTACAGTTTTACTGATTTAAAAGGAACTTTGTTGTACTATGCTGGAGTAAAGTTCATAAATGGTCATTCTTTCCCATAGTAATTTCTAAAACTATGTTGGGTGGACTCTGTGCCTCTAGGGGGGTTCGGGGGCATGCTCCACCGCAAGAAAATTTTGGACATTTTAAGGTTAAATGCATCAATCTCGTGCTCTCTGAGAGATCACAATTAAGAGCTTCAACTCATTAACTGCTCGTTGAACAAAGAAAAAGTATTAATTTGTACCAGGACAATAAAGAGGGCTCAAACATCTTTTTATGTCAAACGTCTCAGTCTGCATTACATTATCAATGGTGTTTTAGGATGCCAAACATTTATTATAATAATGTAATAATGATTTATAATTATTCCCATGACGTAGGCCTACTGTAAAATCCATTTAGCCTATAAATGTACTATGTAAATGAAAATGAGTATTTCAAAAGTATATTTTAACCTACATTACACTATAGGCTAATATAGGAAAATTAAAATACTTTTGTCCTAATTTCTTCACTTGCAAGAAATAAACCCTTGAGCTTTTATTTAGGAGAAAACACCAGATTATGATGATCGCGAGAGCAAAGTAATCACGCTGCACAAACTGGATGCTATTCTAATGTCAGTTATTATAATGGCGCAACGCCATATCATGGTTTCAATTTTAGTTCGTTGGCAAAGTATAACGCTAGAGATCTTAATGTTAGGTTTTACATTTTACATCTTTACATATGTGTTGGGAAAAGGGAGAAGAGAGAGTTCGGCAAAAGGCGGATTCGAACTCGCGTTCAGCACATCAAAAGCTACTTTCAAGCACTTCACGCCCTACGACCTACGCCACTGAAGCTGTTTCAAGATGGGCGTCTTTTTGCTGTAAAGACAGGCACTTAGTGCAAATATATGCTCCGTTATAGAAAATGTTAAAAAAAAATTTTTACATTTTCTTCCCTTAGCTTGGGCCCCAAGTGCACATGGCGAACTTCCAATAAATACATTTTATCAGACCGGCCCTCGCGGCCTCGAAACACTACCGGCCCACCGGGAAAACTCCCGACTCTCCCGATTGCCACTCCGCTACTGCGTGTTAGTCTTATTTGTGGACTTGTGGACTTAGATATTGCATATGAATTCAGATATAAATCTTTAATCATACATTAATATAGCCTACATGTCATTAAACATGCAAATGAATTAAAGCATTTTCCAGTAAATGTTTGCCATTTAAACGTCACTTCTATTTTGTCATAAACGTACTACAGAGGCTTTGTCAGGTGTTGTGCCAGGTCTTCATTTCTTTGTAAATATTGTAATAATCCATTGAGACAAGAGTCCTGAAACAGGTTTGGTCCACACACAGAGATCAGATCTCTCCATCAACAGCTCAGAGACCGAATGCAATATTTACAGATTTTTAGGAACTTCTGTTGTGCTTTAGTGATCTGTGTGAACATCGTGCTACAGTGGTGTACTAGTTAGGCCGTGTGTCCACCAAAGTGTTTTTAGCCAGCTGAAAACGCCAGACGCTCTGCTGAAGACGCCATGCTTTGGGCACTAGCGCAGCGTTTCTTTCCATTGAGACGTTTCGTTGCTATGATACAGAATATCCGCAGCACAGTTTACTTGTAACTGATTTCGTAGATAATTTGAAGAGTTCAGATGCAAAAGCCTCTAAATGCCATTTGAAATTTTCTTCTTTAATGATGATTTTTGTCAAGCTTGTATATTTAAGTTCAGTGATTTCACTTAAATGGCAATGATAATTACCTATTAATTGTTATTTAAGTGAAATTACTGAACTTAAATATACAAGTTTGACAAAAATCATCATTAAAGAAGAAAATTTCAAATGGCATTTAGAGGCTTTTGCATCTGAACTCTTCATTTGTTTCATACCAAATGTATTTTTCATCCATTTTGCTCGTTGTGACAGTTGGTCAGTGTGGTTTAGCCCCGCCCCTCCTCGACTGTGATTGGATGGCTGGGTAAGAAGTGACAGTGATGAGCGCTGCGTTTTATCCAAAGTTGAACATTTTTCAACTCTCGGCGACCAGTAAAAAACGGCCGGCTTCAGCGTGAAAAAAAACCGCTCAGCGCCTCGTTACGCTAATGGCGTTTAAAAAACGCGGCACTCCCATTGAAAACAATTGAAAACATATGCCAGGCACATGGAAAAACGCTTTGGTGGACACGCGGCCTTATACGGGTACATAATGACCTCAGTTCATATCCTTATCTGTAATATTTTCATCATAAGCATGAACACTAGGGGTGGGCCAGTACACAGAAGTCACAGTTCGGTTCAGACATCACGGTTCGATACGAGTTCGGTAAAATGGAGGGAAATGCGAAACAAAAACGTAGAAGGCATTTTTTTATTGTGCATGTCTCAGGCTTACTTTATAAAGTAAGCAACAAGTAAGATAGAAGTAGTTTTAGCACTACGTGTGACGAAGCCGTTTCTCCAGCTCTCCGACGCACAATGTAAACACCAACATCCGAATTCACTCACTTTATTTCCTTCACTCCTTGCAGATGCCATACACTATAGGGATTAGTGAATGAGTCAATGAGTGAGCGGTTTCAGACACAGCTTTTGACTCACTCACTGGAACGTCGACCTGAAAAAAAACTGCATACTAGGCGGAGCTCGGCTACATTGGTGCCAATCAGAGCTAAGGCGGAGCTACAGATCATGTGTCCCTAAAGAACCGGGTATCTAACAGTAGTTATATTAATTATTACATTAATTAATTTGGTGTATTCTCCGTGTAAATTCATGCACCGAACCGCGACGCCTCTAAGGATGCTGGATTACTTCCGCCGATTGTAGAGTCCAATGCTATACCGAGAATTTATATTGGTTTTTATACTCTATGGCTATACTAAAGAAATGCTACTCACAAAAACAGACAAAACAGACACCCTTCATTTTGTTTATGCTTCTTTGTTTATTATATTAAATAAAAATAACTATCAATAAAATTACATCTAAACGTATTAAAGTTTCGTTTCGAAGACGGGAGGACAGTACATTTTGAAGACCCGCTTTCCTCGGTTTTCCTCCGCTTTAAATCTCCCCAGCCGGAAACTGAAGAGCAGTGTTGCGTCAGATGCGGAACTAATACGTGCAAATAGCCTATCGAATTGACTCCGCCCCACAGGAAGTTGAATTTAAATTGGAATGACGAGGAGTGGAATTAAATTCATGGCAATTTAAAGAAATTCCACACAGTCAGACAACAGAAATAATGTGTTGAATCTCACATAAATTCAGTTTTAGGAAGGTTACTTTGGAAATGTAATTGCTTCGTTATAAAAGTTACCCATATAAATGTGGTTTGGATTACTTTATTTGGATTACTTCAATGTAAAGCAATTTCCTTTTAATTTGATTAGTAACTAATTGAATTACACATTTTACCTCAGTAATACAGCTAAATACAATTACACTCATTTTGTAATTTAATAGCATTATTTCATTACACATTACTAGTCACTCTTCAACCCTGCATACATTTTGTTCTAATATATATATATGAAGAGCTCTTTTCCAAAACGCGTTAAACGCCATTTTTAAAAAAAATGAGTTTGCCGTGTCATTCTGCTGTGGACAGAACCCTTTCACTGCTCCATCAACGTTTCATGCCGAATCGCTATATTTCCTTGTTTAAAATGTACTGCAAGATACAGTTTCTTTCCAAGCCGCGTTAAGCGCCAGCCCTGTTTTTAGCCTAAACACGATAAATCCTCAAATTCAATGAGCACTCTACACAATCCAGCACGGCGGCACTCTGAACAGAGGTTTATTATGTTCATTTATTCCTCAAAATGAGTCCTAGTTTTCTAGTCGACTAGTAGTAGATCATTTAAGCCATTTGTATTATCAGTAATCACATATATTGATTTAATTAAATGGGAGAGAAACCATATGAGCGTTTTTAATTGCATATTCCGCATCTCAACGTATGCATAAAGCTTGCCACAAAGAACCGGCAAAAGTAATGATTATGCATAAAACATTTGAATTGTTTATTAATAAACTAGTGTTTTCTGTCAGTGTCAGCAACAAAGATAAAGTTGATGATGCTTACTCGCCATCTTCACAGTGAACGCGCAGAGAAACGCATACTTCGATTTAGCCTACATACGCAGAGAGTTGCCAATTTATTTTAGTTTTTAATTGTTTTGTTTAAAAGTAGATATTTAAAGCTTTCTGTAGCTTAGTTCTCAGGCCTGTGTGAGGCAAGCATCGCGGTGTTTCGGTTCATATTATGAGACGCGCTCCGGTTCACCTGCGCGCCTCTGTGTCCTGATTATATTGTCTGATATTTACTTCTAATGTATTAATCCAGTCAATTTGTCGATGAAACATTTATTAAAATGAAGATACAATTTATATGAAACGAAATTTACAAGCTTTCTACAAAACAAAACTTAATAAGTGGTCAAAATCATGTCTGACGCACTCCAAATGTTTTCCGATATTGGGCAGCTTTTGAATTTTGATCCTATCTTACTCATCTCATGCGGTTCCCTTTTCATAGCCTACTCAACATAGATGAAATAATAAAAATAAGTAATGTAATATTATTAAAAACAAATGTGAAATGTTTATTTTGTTTTTTTGTTTTTTTAAACTTATATTTAAGCGTCATGCTGCTCCGCTTTGCTCACATGTTATGTAGCCTGTGTGTGTGTGCATGTGCTGGAGGGGTGCCCATCCCTTTTTTGAATATCGTTATCATATATTGATCATTTTTAATAATTCGTTTTTTTCATGCATATGTTGAAATGGGTATTAATAATTCGTTTTTTTCATGCATATGTTGAAATTGGTACTATTTGTTTGAGGTTTGACTCTTTACTAAAAATGACTTTACTAATAATGATACAAAAAATGGATGGATTTATAGCGTTTTGGAAAAAAATAAAATTAACTTTTAAATTATCATTAACAATATTGTTGTTTGATTTAATAATAATTGTTCAAAATGTTCAGACTGAACCAATAAAACATTTAAACAGGATAATTTGAATATTCACAAAATGTGTGGGTCTAGGTAAAAAATGTAGTTTTCCTGAAAACTATTGAAATGGATTTATAGCGTTTTGGAAAAGAGCTCTTCATATATATATATATATCCCCTAAAGATTTAATAAAGTAATCCTGGGAAATAGAGTCATGTTCTATCATGTTCAATTGTTTTGTGACTAGAGATTTTAATTTTAATTGCTGGGGGAAAACATTTCATGTTTAATTTGTACAAGTATTTCAAACTAATATAATTTATAGAATATATAATGCAATCATATCTGACACACTGTAAAGCTTCATTGTTAAACATTTGAATTTTTATTGAATTGCAATTCTGCTTCCTTCAATTCAAATTCGAATTGTAATTCTAGATCCTGTTTTTGACATCAATTCAAAATCATGAATTGAATTGGAATTCAGGAGTCATGCTCAATTCAATTCTGAATTGCGCACAAGCCTGATAATGACATGTGAATCATTTTCAGACATAAAGCTTGCCTGGTCATTGGGGTCCATTTTGGTCATCATGCGTTCCTCCAGAAGGTTGAAGGTCAAAACTTGCAGCACGTAGAGCTGATGTGCCATTTCAGCTTTGACGGGCCGATTCCCACGGATGATGTGCTGGGGAAGAGATTGTCAATGCTGTTACACACACACACCGGTGTTTCCTAAACAACACTTATCATCACACTGCTTCTAAACCACTATTAACAAAGATACCGTAGGCACCAATTTAGATATGCTTTGAAAAGCTCATTTTCGTTTCGTTGACATGGCTGGTGTACGGGAACAACAATATGCCGCTAAAAAGCACAAACAAGAGGGCGGGGAAGTATCCATGTATCCATAGTAGCCACCAAACCCCTATTGGTCATCCGAAAACCATCCCAAATTTTAGCCAATCTCATCTGGTCACCCTAACTAAGAGGATCACACACACTTACATTCAGTATGATGCCGCGCAGGTGTTTCTGAGCCAGTGTACCCGCCATCTCCTGCCATAAACACACACAGAGTCACATCAGTCTGTGAATGTCTAAACCACACTCCAAACTATAACAATAAAAACACAACCAACTGTAACAAATGAGAATGTTTTGAGAGCATCCAACAAATTGGTTGAGTGAACGAATCAATGACTCGTTCATAAAGAGTCACATGTTTGGTTCCTGAATGAATCAGAGCTGACGAACTAATCGTTAAATCAGTGAATTAATGAACTGTTACATCAGGACTAATGCGAAGCTGCTTGCTTGATCAATCAGATTTGAGCACTGGAAATATTTTTTTGTAAACAATAGATTATTAATTATACTTTGTATTATATATTACTATGTGTGATAATTTCCAACAATTCTGTTGTTCTCTATTCGTTCTGACTATACAGGTGAAACTCGAAAAATGAGAATATCGTGCAAAAGTTCATTTATTTCAGTGATTCAAATTAAAAGGTGAAATTAATATATTATATAGAATTACATGCAAAGTGAGATATTTCAAGCCTTTATTTGTTATAATTTTGATGATTATGTGATTATGTTATGAATTTGATTATTTATATGATATGATTATATACATTTATAGCTTATGAATACCTTTTCACAATATTATAATTTAGAGCCATAATCATCAAAATGATATCAAATGAAGGCTTGAAATATCTCACTTTTCATTTAATGAGTCTATATAATATTTTAGTTACACCTTTTATGCTGAATTACACATTCACATTTTTTGAGTTTCACCTGTAATAGACTTTTCCTCCACAAACACAGAATGTCAACTTTTACTGATAGAAACATTTAGGGTGTGTTTTGTGTCCGGTTCTCTTGGTTCTTCTGACCTAACAGTTATAGAATAACTTTATAATACAGTGTTAAAACTGGCCCTGTCACAGGCAGTGTTGTGTTGCATAAGTAAAGAACCTATTCAAAAACATACCTCACTTAGTTCACACCAGAATGATAACTATAAAGATAACTATATTAGCATTCACACTAGCCAACGGTATCATTCTGTTTATTCTACGCTTGAGCTGCAGTTTATGTCTGTCGCTTTAAATGCTTGGGCTCTTTAAAGTCCCCGTGAACCGGAAGTTGCAAACGATTTTTCTCCAGTGCTGTGACGTATTTCCAAGTGAAACGGAATATTGAACAGAGGGCAGGGTTTTACTCTAGCGCTCCTCCTCTCCATCTCTCGCTCATAGCAAACTAACGGTTTGAGGGGAGTGGTTAAGCGTTTCCCCACCCAAACTGTGAAACCTACGTCATCAGAAAAAGAAACCGTTGCAGACCGGAAGTAACTTTTCAGATTTTGATTAAAGATTACTAAGGTAAAACATTTTTTTAATATATATTAACTTGCTTTTATATAATATTTATTTATTATATAATATATATAATAATATTTTAATATATATTAACTTTTTTAATATATATTAACATATATATGGATTAATTGTTCACCCCAAGACTAGTAATATGCGCTAACAAAGTAAATAGGTTCAATTTTGATTTCACGGGGACTTTAAAGCAGGATGGATTCTGATTGGCTGTAAAAAGTCCCCCGGTGGTGAAAATCCAGTTTTTAATGTTGTTTATGTGTCTATGTGGTGTTTTAATCTGCTTTAAGACAAACCATGTGTAAATTCATAAGTCGACAGCATTTCTGTGTGTTTTCTCCTTAAAACTGCAGTGAACCAAAGACAGTCTCAAAAACACGGTTTGAAATCGCTGGTGTTTCTAATGTCACAATCTATGTAACCAATCAGATCAACGTGTGATCGTCAACCAGTGGATCTCTGAGCTGAGTGAGTGAGCTCATTTGCATATTAATAGAACCGCGCATACTAAATGAGGCAAGGGTGTCGAGTTACATTCAAGTCATTTTAAGGCATGAAGACATTTTACAATTTACAACAATATCGTTCCTCTGCCGTCATTGTTATAGTTTTGGTGTGAAGTCTGCTATTCTTTTATATTTAGAATGATTTTTAGAGCTATATCTTTATTGTTATAGTTATCATCACTGTTATCTGTTAAACATGTGAATGACAGTGTGTGGACGTTCCTACTCTGAAACAATGACTGAAGAGTGAGTTGATTAGTGTGTCAGACGGTGTTTGTGTGTGTGTGTGTGTGTGTGAGTGTGTGTTCACCTGACGTCTGTCCTCTGGTGTTTTGAGGAACAGGGCGTTGATGAGAGCGATGGCGTACGTCTGGATCTCCTGATTGGACCTGAGGAGTTGATGACACACACACGCACACACACACACACACACACACACACACACACAGTTAGAGGTATCTTGCTCTTGGACTCCAACACTTCTGGACTCTAAATCCCGTGTCACTGTCTGGAGCTCTGGAGGGTTTTTATCACACAGCTCGGCACATTCAGTGTGTGTGTGTGTGTGTGCGTGCAGGAGAGAAGCATGTGACCTGCGCTGCTGCGAGTGTGTGTGCGTGTGTGTGTGCGTGTATGTGCTCACACTTGCAGGTGTGCGATGAGCTGCGCCACAGTGATCTCCTGCGCCACACGCTGGTACAGGCTGTGGCTGTTGAGCACCATACTCTCCAGGATGGCCAGTGAGCGCTGAAGGATGGACACGTCCACCATGGGCTGGTTCACGTAACCCGCAATCTGGCACACACCACACTCACATGACTATCACATGACATAAACACTGGTCTACCAGGCAATGGAACTAAAAATTGAATAGTGACAGTGAATGAGTCATTGACTCATTCACTCATTTGAATCATCGCTAATGAACCATGATGGTGAATGACTCTTATATCAGTACTAATGCAACGCTGCTTAACCAATCAGATGTGAGGACTGCACTGCAAAAAAATGCTTTTCTTACTTAGCTTTTTTTTGTCCAAATATCTAGAAATTGTGAAATCAAGAAGGATTTACTAGATAAGTAAAATGACATGAGAAATTCGAAAAAAAATTTCTGATTATAAAAATCGGAAAAATATCGTGCAAAAGTGTATTTATTTCAGTAATTCAAATTAAAAGGAGAAATTAATATATTATATAGAATTACGTGCAAAGTAAATATTTCAAGCCTTTATTTGTTATAATTTTGATGATTATGGCTTAAAGCTTATGAACAGTGACAGTGAATGAGTCTGTTTATGAGCAAGTCATTGACTCATTCACTCAACCAATTTATTTTCATTTGAGTCATCGCTAATGAACCATGTTGATGAAAATGCTTTTCTTACTTAGCTTTTTTTTGGCCAAATATCTAGAAATTGTGAAATCAAGAAGGATTTACTAGATAAGTAAAATGACATGAGAAATTCGAAAAAAAATTTCTGATTATAAAAATCGGAAAAATATCGTGCAAAAGTGTATTTATTTCAGTAATTCAAATTAAAAGGAGAAATTTATATATTATATAGAATTACGTGCAAAGTAAATATTTCAAGCCTTTATTTGTTATAATTTTGATGGTTATGGCTTAAAGCTTATGAATAGTGACAGTGAATGAGTCTGTTTATGAACAAGTCATTGACTCATTCACTCAACCAATTTATTTTCATTTGAGTCATCGCTAATGAACCATGTTGATGAAAATGCTTTTCTTACTTAGCTTTTTTTTTTGTCCAAATATCAAGAAATTGTGAAATCAAGAAGGATTTACTAGATAAGTAAAATGACATGAGAAATTCGAAAAATGTTTTCTGATTATAAAAATCGAAAAAATATCGTGCAAAAGTGTATTTATTTCAGTAATTCAAATTAAAAGGTGAAATTAATATACTATATAGAATTATGTGCAAATTAAATATTTCAAGACTTTATTTGTTATCATTTTGATGATTATAGCTTATGAATAGTGACAGTGAATGAGTCTGTTTATGAGCAAGTCATTGACTCATTCACTCAACCAATTTATTTTCATTTGAGTCATCGCTAATGAACCATGTTGATGAAAATGCTTTTCTTACTTAGCTTTTTATTGGCCAAATATCTAGAAATTGTGAAATTAAGAAGGATTTACTATAAGTAAAATGACATGAGAAATTCGAAAAAATGAGTTTTTGCTTAAAACAACCAAAATTATCTGCCAATGGGGTATGAAAAATAATCTTGTTTTCCATTTGAATTAAGATTTCTTTTTTTGTTTTCCATTTAAATTAAGATTTTTTTTCCTAACCTCGTTGGTAGTTTTACTTGTTTTAAGATGTATTTATTTTTATGTTGAGAAAGGTTTCTTAAGAAAGAGTCAGAGTTTGTGTTGTACTTGCCTGTTTAATGAAGGACACGGAAATCAGATCCCAGGACACGATACCGTGATCCATGAGCTCCAGAAACGCAGTGAGAGTGAAGGCCAACATCTCCCCAAAACTACACATAGAAAACACACACATGAAGCACTGAAACACAGACTGAAATGAGCCATGACGTCTGAACTGAATCATACTTCTTCAATCTCATATTTAAGATGGCAAACAACCACTAGCACAATTTAAACAATAATCAAGGATATAGTTATAAATATACTGTACACCACCATTCAAAAGTTTGGGATCTTTAAAAGAAGTCTCTTCTGCATACCAAGGCATTTATTTAATTAAAAATACAAAAAAAAAAAAAAAACTGTAAAAATATTATTACAATTAAAAATAACTGTTTTTTATTTGAACACATTTTAAAGTGTAATGAATTCCTGAATTTTCTTCGCCGTCACATGATCCTTCAGAAATTGCAAAAAATACACTTTTGTAACTTTATACACTATAAGAATCAGAATATTTTTAACAATAAATCAATACTTTTATTTGGCAAGGACACATTAAATTGATCAAAAGTGAAAGTAAAGACATTTATAATGTAGCAAAAGATTATATTTCAACTTTTTATTCATCAAAGAATTCTGAAAATAAATAAATAAATAAATTGTCCACAACTGTTTTCAACATTGATAATAATCAAAAATGTTTATTGAGCATCAAAGCCTCATATTAGAGTGATTTCTGAAGGATCATGTGACACTGAAGACTGGAGTAATGATGCTGAAGATTCAGCTTTGATCACAGGAATAAATTACACTTCACTATTTATTCACACTCCCATTTTGTTCACATTCGCTCCCGGAATTTAATCTGTGTGACCTGAAAATATATTTGGGAGTTATATTTGAAATTTAACACCACCTATTAATATATTAGAATTAAATCAGTTAATATATTATCGTAGTGCAATGTTTTTTTTAGTCAGTTTTTGTGTGTATTTTTATTAATTGTTGGTTTGGTGTGTTTGAGTGCTCGTTGTTAAAATTACACAGCAAAATTTCAGTGGCATTTTTATTTGTCCATAATTAAAAACAAATACTGATACTAACAATGACATAAAGTACATATGGAAAATTGAACTACATGGTTGCATAACAATTTATAATAGTGATATGGTGACAATTTATAATGGTTTTTAGCAATTGTTGTTTTGGTGTGGTTTAAAAATTAATATTCTGATATAAACGTTCATCTAAACTATTTTAAACTATTTAACAATATCTTTTGCATTTCTAATCCAAACAACGTCAAACAGGGCAATGCACTTACTGGTACCCGTAACAAGACACTGGTCAAGTCTGAAATCCATCGGTCTAACGGTTCGAGAGATATGCGAATAAGACACACACACACACACAGATGTTCCTGTAATTTATAATCTGTACTCCTAATGTTTGAAGTTGCTACCAAGTAAAAATAATTAATTTTGAGCCCTGTTCACACAGACAACAGTCACTTTAAATTGCAATATTTCACAATATTACTGTTTTTACTGTATTTTTGATCAAATAAATTGCCTTGCTGAGCAAACTATATTTAAATGGTAGTGTATATATATATATTTATTTACAAAGAGGTAAAATGTCATCATATTTTTGTGATTAGCCATTTAAATCTCTTTGCATCAAAAGTTTACAGTAGTAGCCAAAAGTGGTTGGCATCTTGACTCTTTATTTACATATTATCAATAAAAATGTGTTAAAATAATAGTAAAATAACGTCACTTTTGGCCACAACTGTACATGAGTCCACCAAGCTCATCGTGTGTGTGTGTGTGTGTGTGTGTGCAAGGGACACTTACTGTGTGCCACTCTCCACAAGCCGTGCCAGCGTCGCCAGGCCCTCCATGTTGATGAACTCTGTGGCGAATGTGGGGTCAGCGGAAAGTTTGGCTAACTCCTTCAGCGCCTCCAGACGCGCGTCGATCCCGTGAGACTGGATCCGCTCCAGCAACTGTCGAGCCGCTCGCATCTGACACACACACAACCCCGTCAGGATCTCTGACACACACTGATCTACGGGAATCAGACCTGGCTTCCGCAGTCAAGTCTCCTTTATTTATACAGCGCTTTTAACAATGGACTGTTTGAAAGCAGCTTTACAGTGATGACAGGAGATTACAGTAACAGAGATTGTTTAGGCTTTACAGTAGATCTAGAATAAAGTTATTGTCTAGATAAAGTTAGCTTTGATTGATTCACTTCCGTTGCAAAGATCATTAGTTATTAACTTGCCGCTAACATGACACGGCTCTAACAGAAATCCCCTAAGGCACTCCGGCCGCTCATTCACACGACAGTGTTTAGTGTAGTGTGTAGTGTAACAACAGTGTTTAGTGTAGTGTAGTGTGTAGTGTTTAGTGTAGTGTGTAATGTTTAGTGTAGTGTGTAGTGTTTGGTGTAGTGTAAGGTGTAGTGTAACAACAGTGTTTAGTGTAGTGTAGTGTAGTATAGTGTGTAGTGTAACAAGTGTTTAGTGTAGTGTGTAACAACAGTGTTTAGTGTAGTGTTTAGTGTAACAAGAGTGTTTAGTGTGGTGTAGTGTGTAGTGTAACAACATTGTTTAGTGTAGTGTAGTGTAGTATGTAGTGTAACAACAGTGTTTAGTGTAGTGTGTAGTGTTTAGTGTAACAACAGTGTTTAATGTAATGTAGTAGTTTGTAGTGTAACAAGAGTGTTTAGTGCAGTGTAGTGTGTAGTGTTTAGAGTAGTGTAGTGTGTAGTGTTTAGTGTAGTGTAGTGTGTAGTGTAACAACAGTGTTTAGTGTAGTGAAGTGTTTAGTGTAGTGTAGTGTGTAGTGTAACAACAGTGTTTAGTGTAGTGTGTAGTGTAACAACAGTGTTTAGTGTAGTGTGTAGTGTAACAACAGTGTTTAGTGTAGTGTGTAGTGTAACAACAGTGTTTAGTGTAGTGTGTAGTGTAACAACAGTGTTTAGTGTAGTGTAGTGTGTAGTGTTTAGTGTAGTGTGTAATGTTTAGTGTAGTGTAGTGTGTAGTGTAGTGTAACAACAGTGTTTAGTGTAGTGTAGTGTAGTATAGTGTGTAGTGTAACAAGTGTTTAGTGTAGTGTGTAACAACAGTGTTTAGTGTAGTGTTTAGTGTAACAAGAGTGTTTAGTGTAGTGTAGTGTAGTGTGTAGTGTAACAACATTGTTTAGTGTAGTGTAGTATGTAGTGTAACAACAGTGTTTAGTGTAGTGTAGTGTGTAGTGTAACAACTGTGTTTAGTGTAGTGTGTAGTGTTTAGTGTAACAACAGTGTTTAATGTAATGTAGTGTAGTTTGTAGTGTAACAAGAGTGTTTAGTGCAGTGTAGTGTGTAGTGTTTAGAGTAGTGTAGTGTGTAGTGTTTAGTGTAGTGTAGTGTGTAGGGTAACAACAGTGTTTAGTGTAGTGAAGTGTTTAGTGTAGTGTAGTGTGTAGTGTAACAACAGTGTTTAGTGTAGTGTAGTGTGTAGTGTAACAACAGTGTTTAGTGTAGTGTGTAGTGTTTAGTGTAACAACAGTGTTTAATGTAATGTAGTGTAGTGTGTAGTGTAACAAGAGTGTTTAGTGCAGTGTGTAGTGTTTAGTGTAACAACAGTGTTTAGTGTAGTGTGTAGTGTAGTATGTAGTATGTAGTGTAACAAGTGTTTAGTGTGTAGTGTATTGTGTAGTGTAGTGCGTAGTGTGTAGTGTAACAACAGTGTTTAATGTAATGTAGTGTAGTTTGTAGTGTAACAAGAGTGTTTAGTGCAGTGTAGTGTGTAGTGTTTAGAGTAGTGTAGTGTGTAGTGTTTAGTGTAGTGTAGTGTGTAGTGTAACAACAGTGTTTAGTGTAGTGAAGTGTTTAGTGTAGTGTAGTGTGTAGGGTAACAACAGTGTTTAGTGTAGTGTGTAGTGTTTAGTGTAAAAACAGTGTTTAATGTAATGTAGTGTAGTGTGTAGTGTAACAAGAGTGTTTAGTGCAGTGTAGTGTGTAGTGTTTAGTGTAACAACAGTGTTTAGTGTAGTGTAGTGTAGTGTGTAGTGTAACAACAGTGTTTAGTGTAGTGTGTAGTGTTTAGTGTAACAACAGTGTTTAGTGCAGTGTAGTGTAGTGTGTAGTGTAACAACAGTGTTTAGTGTAGTGTGTAGTGTTTAGTGTAACAACAGTGTTTAGTGTAGTGTAGTGTGTAGTATGTAGTGTAACAAGTGTTTAGTGTGTAGTGTAGTGTTTAGTGTAACAACAGTGTTTAGTGTAGTGTGTAGTGTAGTGTAGTATGTAGTATGTAGTGTAACAAGTGTTTAGTGTGTAGTGTATTGTGTAGTGTAGTGAAGTGTGTAGTGTGTAGTGTAACAACAGTGTTTAGTGTAGTGTGTAGTGTAGTGTAGTGCTTAGTGTGTAGTGTAACAACAGTGCCCGTATATGTGCGCAGACGCGTAGTCTTTCTCTACAAATTACTTATCTGGCCTTAAAAATTCATAACACAGAATCCATGTGACACCATGTTATCAATGCAGAGGTGTAGGGGAGGAGGTCTTCACAGGAGACACAGCAGAAAGTGTGTGTGTGTGTGTGTGTGTGACTCACAGGAGAGATGGCCAGGCGGAGGATACTGCCGTTCTTCATTTCACTACGACTCTGAAACACAAACACAGATTATATCCATTAAACTCCTGCGTCACGAACAGAACAGCACCTTCTCCCAGTAGCACCTCAATGCAGTACATGAGATCCACGAGGAGGAGTCGGATCAACATCCAAGGGGTGGAGATGGTGAGGATTAGGGGTGGGTTTAGGGATCAGGGGGCGGAGTTGGGTAGGTTTAGGTGTATGTAAGGTGGGAGGAGTTGGATCTGGATCTGACTCCTCTGCGTGAATTTCATGTTCTGCAGTGAGAACCATCTCGATTCTCAGGCTAGAGTATTCAATTCAATTCAATTCACATATATAGTGCTTTTCACAATACACATCGTTTCAAAGCAGCTTTACAGAAAGTCCACACATTACAATTTACAGTGGTCTGGGTAACACTTTGTTTTACAGTGTCCTTGTTACATGTACTTACTATAGTAATAACAGTAAATTATGCAGAATTATATGCAACTAACCCTCAACCAAATATTATTATTACTCAGTACTTAAATATATAATTACACTGTAACAATGACACCTTAAAATAAAGTGTAACCATGATCTGTTATCAGAAGAAACTGTATAAGATATCACAGTTAGTTAAAAATTTAAGGCAGAAACAATGAGCTCTTTGAAGTAATGAATGCTTGTCTTTAATGAATACTACACTGAAAATTGTAGCATTGGTGCATATCGATTCAGAGTTTGCGAATGATATTTATATGTTATGAGGATTAAATAATGATACAGAATATTGTTTTTTAGCTACCAATGTGCAAAAAGCATTACTAAACAATAATCAAATATCAGTTATCGCACACTGTGAGGGTTATTAAACATCAACTTATAGTTCTCAGCCACGTGAATGTCTCAAAATAAGAAAAACAAAAATATGCAAGTTGTGGGCACTTGTGATCCATATACAACATCTGCTATTTCAATCACTACAGCAGGATATTAACATGAAAAACACTTAACAGTCGCCCTGTGGTGAAAATCCAGCTTTTAATCTTGTTTATGTGTCTATGTGGTGTTTTTAATATGCTTTAAGACAAACCATGTGTAAATTCATAAGTCGACAGCATTGCTGAGTGTTTTCTCCTTAAAACTGCAGTGAACCAAAGACAGTCTCAAAAACACGGTTTGAAATCGCTGGTGTTTCTGACGTCACAAACGACCTCGTAACCAATCAGATCAACGTGTGATCGTCAACCAGTGGATCTCTGAGCTGAGCGAGTGAGTGGAGGCGGGATCATTTGCATATTCATATAACCCCGCATACTAAATGAGGCAAGGGTGTCGAGTTACATTAAAGATATTTTAAACCATGATTTTTGGTAATTTGGTAATTTTTGGTAAGGAAAAACATTTAAATATGTCATTTTGGTGATCAAAGATGAGTTTTAAGGGATAAAATTAAGCACCTTAATGTACTAAAACAGCAATATTAAAAGATCAAGTTCAATATATAGCTTATTAATGATGCATACGAGCAGATGAACCCAGGATATTAATGCAATGAATGGTTTAGGTCTTCTTTAAACGAGAAACTGTGAGTTGCGTGTATATTTTGGGTTCTGGATCTGCTCGCCTGTACATACGCATCATCAATAAGGTTTATACTGAATTTGGTCTTTTAATATATCTTACTAGCACTTAGTACAAAACTGGTAAAAACAAAAATGTTTTGCCCTCCAGGTGTTCCTATAAGTGTGTGACGTCACGTGAAAACTGTGAATATCCAGTTCCAGTTGATTTTCACCAGTTCAGTGATGTAGAGCTGTGGCCCGTCAGCGTAACGCAGGGCGAACTGCTCCGACCCCGACAGAGACCATCTACAACACACACAACACACATTCATGTCACCAGATCCAGCATCTCAGTCACGGTGACCCAAAAACACTTCATGCACTAAACAACCACAGCATTCTGCTCAGATGTGATCACCTAAACACTGGAGAGAGAACATCAATGCTCAAGTCATGAACAATCATGTTGTTTTCTCATGTACTGGTCAGTTTTGAGGTCTATTTTCAGACTAGTAGAAAGAAAACATCTAAAATGCACATTTAAGTGTTTATTTTATTGCACTTTATCTGTAGATTTCAATTCCGATCAATATCTTTGAAGGCTGAGAGTCAGATATCAAACTTTCCTATATATTCTAGAGGTTTGTTCATATGATTCTCCTGGTTTATACAACATTTTACTCTTGAAAGTGGTGAAAAGGTATGTTGTTCTGTCTGTTGATGGAGGGATAGACTGCAAAAAAGTGTTTTAGTCTTGTTTTCGGTCCAAATATCAAAAAATTCTTAAATGAAGATGCAATTTACAAAAGTAGTAAAATGGCAAAATTAAGCGAGTTTTACAAGCAAAAATACTGTATCTGCCAATGGGGTCAGAAATGTAGTGTAGATACATCATAAAATTTATGATTATTTTACTTAAGACATTATATCATTTTACTACTTCAGTTAATGCATCTTCATTTAAGAATTTTTAGATATTTGGACTGGACACAAGACAAAAAATACTAAGTAAGAAAAGTGTAAAACGTAATTTTTTGGTGTAAAAAAGAGAACTTTAACAAGAAGTTTGCACCTGGCTTTATCCAATGTTCAGGGCCCGGTTCCCCCGATAACGCTCACTCTTAGCACGCTAAGAAGACTCGAAAGATATATCTTACCAAAGTTGTTTATATTCCTAAGTGTGTTCCCCGAAGTGTCCCCTAGGAAGCATCTTAACACGCTGCCTCTTACATTCGACGTTACAAAGGGCCTGTCCCAAGTGAAGGTGTTGAATTAGCTGGCATCGATTGCTCAGGAATCGATTTTCACTTAACATTAAGGAGTTAAAAAAGACAACACTTTCTATGCAAATGAAAAATTCCTTAAATTATTCCAGTAACTTTTATTTTTACAGAGTTTAAGTTATCAGTAAAATATAGACTATTAATTCAATTATCAAATTGTCAGTATGTTCACACGATACTTTGTGACGGGTTCCGTTGTTATCCCGTTGTGCCACTTGTGCCACAGGTGGGTTTGTCTTGTCATGTTTAGTGATTCCCTGTCTGTCTATTAGTCAACCCAGGTGTTTCCCATTAACCACGTCCACTTGTTATCCTGTCTAGCTTGTTTACCTCTGTATTTAATCCCTGTGTTTCAGCCCTGTCTTTGTGAGTTCTTGATGTTGTAGCATTGATATTGGTTGTTCTATCCCTGAGTCCTGTTTCCTTCTCTGAGTTTGTAAAGTTTGAAGTTTAGTTTAATAAACGCACTGCTTCCTCCTTGCTTCAACCACTTAATGACAGAAGAACTCAACAAAGAATCCTGCAACATTAGAAGGCAATCTCCAGCCAAGTGGGTAGCTACGCCTGGGCCTTATTCCCAGAAGGGCTGCCGCCATGAACGCCAAGCCAGAGCTTCACGTCATGCTAAAGCTTCATATCATGCCAGGTCTTCACATCACGTCATGTCTTCACATCATGCCAGAGCTTCATGCCATTCCAGAGCTTCTTCATGTCTAGCCAGGTCTTTCCGTCACACCAGCTCTTCTCAACGTCACTTCCGCCCATGTAGAGACTGTTCACGTCACATCTGCCCATCCAGAGACTGTTCACATCAGTCTGTCCATCTAGAGACTGCTCACGTCACTTCTGCCGAACCAGAGTCTGTTCACGTCATGTCTGCCCAGTCAGAGACTGTTCACGTCAGTCTGTCCATCTAGAGACTGTTCACGTCATGTCTGCCGAACCAGAGACTGTTCACATCACGTCTATCCAGTCAGAGACTGTTCACTTCAGTTCTGCCCATCTAGAGATTGTTCATGTCACGTCTGTTCTCCAGAGATTGTTCACGTCACGTCTGCCCATCTAGAGACTGTTCACGTCCCTTCTGCCCATCTAGAGACAGTTAACGTCACTTCTGCCCATCTAGAGACAGTTCACGTCACTTCTGCCCATCTAGAGACAGTTCACGTCACGTCTGCCCATCTAGAGACAGTTCACGTCACGTCTGCCCATCTAGAGACAGTTCACGTCACTTCTGCCCATCTAGAGACAGTTCACGTCACTTCTGCCCATCTAGAGACAGTTCACGTCACTTCTGCCCATACAGAGACTGTCCACGTCACTTCTGCCCATACAGAGACTGTCCACGTCACTTCTGCCCATCTAGAGACAGTTCACGTCACTTCTGCCCATCTAGAGACAGTTAACGTCACTTCTGCCCATCTACGGACTGTTCACGTCAGTTCTGCCCATCCAGAGACTGTTCACGTCACTTCTGCCCATCCAGAGACTGTCCACGTCACTTCTGCCCAGCTAGAGACTGTTCACGTCACTTCTGCCCATCTAGAGACAGTTCACGTCACTTCTGCCCATCTACGGACTGTTCACGTCAGTTCTGCCCATCCAGAGACTGTCCACATCACTTCTGCCCAGCTAGAGACTGTTCACGTCACTTCTGCCCATCTAGAGACAGTTCACGTCACTTCTGCCCATCTAGAGACAGTTCACGTCACTTCTGCCCATACAGAGACTGTCCACGTCACTTCTGCCCATACAGAGACTGTCCACGTCACTTCTGCCCATCTAGAGACAGTTCACGTCACTTCTGCCCATCTACGGACTGTTCACGTCAGTTCTGCCCATCCAGAGACTGTTCACGTCACTTCTGCCCATACAGAGACTGTCCACGTCACTTCTGCCCAGCTAGAGACTGTTCACGTCACTTCTGCCCATCTAGAGACAGTTCACGTCACTTCTGCCCATCTACGGACTGTTCACGTCAGTTCTGCCCATCCAGAGACTGTCCACATCACTTCTGCCCAGCTAGAGACTGTTCACGTCACTTCTGCCCATCTAGAGACTGTTCACGTCACTTCTGCCCATCCAGAGACTGTCCACGTCACTTCTGCCCATCTAGAGACTGTTCACGTCACTTCTGCCCATCTAGAGACTGTTCACGTCACTTCTGCCCATCTAGAGACTGTTCACGTCACTTCTGCCCATCTAGAGACTGTTCACGTCACTTCTGCCCATCTAGAGACAGTTCACGTCACTTCTGCCCATCTAGAGACTGTTCACGTCACTTCTGCCCATCTAGAGACTGTTCACGTCACTTCTGCCCATCTAGAGACAGTTAACGTCACTTCTGCCCATCTAGAGACAGTTCACGTCACTTCTGCCCATCTAGAGACTGTTCACGTCACTTCTGCCCATCTAGAGACTGTTCACGTCACTTCTGCCCATCTAGAGACAGTTAACGTCACTTCTGCCCATCCAGAGACTGTCCACGTCACTTCTGCCCATCTAGAGACTGTTCACGTCACTTCTGCCCATCTAGAGACTGTTCACGTCACGTCTGCCCATCTAGAGACTGTCCACGTCACTTCTGCCCAGCTAGAGACTGTTCACGTCACTTCTGCCCATCTAGAGACTGTTCACGTCACTTCTGCCCATCTAGAGACTGTTCACGTCACTTCTGCCCATCTAGAGACTGTTCACGTCACTTCTGCCCATCTAGAGACAGTTCACGTCACTTCTGCCCATCTAGAGACTGTTCACGTCACTTCTGCCCATCTAGAGACTGTTCACGTCACTTCTGCCCATCTAGAGACAGTTAACGTCACTTCTGCCCATCTAGAGACAGTTCACGTCACTTCTGCCCATCTAGAGACTGTTCACGTCACTTCTGCCCATCTAGAGACTGTTCACGTCACTTCTGCCCATCTAGAGACAGTTAACGTCACTTCTGCCCATCCAGAGACTGTCCACGTCACTTCTGCCCATCTAGAGGCTGTTCACGTCACTTCTGCCCATCCAGAGATTGTTCACGTCACTTCTGCCCATCTATGGACTGTTCACGTCACTTCTGCCCATCCAGAGACTGTTCATGTCACCTCTGTCCATCTAGAGATTGTTCACGTCACGTCTGCCCTTCCAGAGACTGTTCACGTCACGTCTGCCCATCTAGAGACTGTTCACGTCACTTCTGCCCATCTAGAGACTGTTCACGTCACTTCTGCCCATCTAGAGACAGTTAACGTCACTTCTGCCCATCTAGAGACAGTTCACGTCCCTTCTGCCCATCCAGAGACTGTCCACGTCACTTCTGCCCAGCTAGAGACTGTTCACGTCACTTCTGCCCATCTAGAGACAGTTCACGTCACTTCTGCCCATCTACGGACTGTTCACGTCAGTTCTGCCCATCCAGAGACTGTTCACGTCACTTCTGCCCATCTAGAGACTGTTCACGTCACTTCTGCCCAGCTAGAGACTGTTCACGTCACTTCTGCCCATCTAGAGACAGTTCACGTCACTTCTGCCCATCTAGAGACTGTCCACATCACTTCTGCCCAGCTAGAGACAGTTCACGTCACTTCTGCCCATCTAGAGACTGTTCACGTCACTTCTGCCCAGCTAGAGACTGTTCACGTCACTTCTGCCCATCTACGGACTGTTCACGTCAGTTCTGCCCATCCAGAGACTGTTCACGTCACTTCTGCCCAGCTAGAGACTGTTCACATCACTTCTGCCTATCCAGAGACTGTCCACATCACTTCTGATGATTTCTCCATGACAACAACTGACAATCACCGCAGCTGCTCTTAACTTTGAATAAACATGATGATTATAACATCGCTTCCTCGAAATGTATGCCTTTTCTGATCGGAAAGGTAATTTATTACACCATTTCTTAATTTAAACGACTATAGTGTTATTATAAGAGTAAATAAAGTGTGTGGTGGAATCATCTGGCGCTAAATTTAAATGTTTAACCGTTTGCGAACAATCTCGCCGGTGATTTGCGTTGCATTCCGTGAACTTTCTCTTAGTCCTCCATTTGGAGTGTGCCTCTGAAAAATCTCTGTTTCGAACGCTATGTAGCCCTACCCCTTCGCCCTACCCCTCGATCTCAACAAGAATCGGGACACCAAGGGGTGAATTGGGATTGAGCCTTAATGCGGTATTGATTGCCATTGGTTTAAAGGCTTAAGGGCTTAAAGCAATATGCCGCCGCGTTAGCCTGGCAAGAGCAGGCCTGAGAAGGTCCAACAGCTCCATAATGAGTTGTCTTGGGAGGCAATTTTTTGTAATATAGTCTAACGAAAGTGTGACTTACAGAAGATATACTTAGCGTACAAACATGTCAGGAATCGTACCATAAGGTTAAGAGAGAGAGGTCAAGGAATAGGTTAAGAAAAACTTAGTGTTTTGGGAAACCGGGCCCAGATTTCTGTTGTGGAAATATATGCAAATTAGTGCACTTTTAATTAGATAATAACTCATTTGCATGTTTAAAACAATTTAAGAAAACTTGTGATGCAAAGAATGTTTGCAATACAAACTGAAATTGCACATTTTTCACAAAACAACAACATATAAACCAGTGGTGCAGTATGTAAAATAACACATTTTACACTAGATTCATGAGTGTTTAGTTAGTAGTGAGAGAAATACTCAGATTTGAGGTCATACAGGTTTGGTTCAGGTGTTTCAGAGAGACGCAAGTGTGAATACAGCACAATGTCTGTGTTTAGCTTTAGCTGCACATGGACTTACCCATCACACACTTCTCTTATGATGGACGCCAGTGGCTTCTTCTGCAACACACACACACACACACACACACACATTACAGACTCTCTGCTGTGAATCTCTTTAGTCAAACAGCACATGTAGCTTCTGCACAAATACTACCGTAATTACTAGTGGTGGACGATATGTTGCCATGACCGTTATGTCAGTATATATATTTGTCATTTTTTAATTATCAGCATCTGCTGATCATATTTTCTGTTTAGCTCATTTGTCGGACGCAGGACTTTTATTTTGAAAGTGATGAGAACACCAGCGCCTTCATGTCCAAAGTTTTCCACTAGATTCCGACTTGTAAAACACATACTAATGTCATTTACATCTTTTAGTTTGTCAAGAGATTTAAAGTGTCGCGTTTGAATAGTGCACATGTGTGAACGAGCTCTAGTGTTTAAGAACGAGTCTATGATTGAATCTGGAAATAAAGAAAAATTCTAAATATTCCTCAGATGCATGTCTGTTTCATTAAAAGTATTATTACTACTACTTCAACTCTTTCCCCGCCAATGACGAGATTTCCAATCGGCAATCCGTGTTTTTACTGTTATACACCATATACACTAGGTGACGAAATAGTACATTTAATAGTATCTTCTGAAATAGTGCAGCATCTCCAGATCTGGAATAGACATTATTTTTACTATTAAATTCTCACAGATGAACGGGGGATTTCCTTCAAAATGTGTAACCTTAGTGTACTTTATATCAGTACAGTAGTAGCTGATAACTGTTTCTACAGTGATATTTTGACTGAAGATATCATCATAATTTCATTTTTAATGAAAAAAAGGAGAGAAATGTGCTTTAAAAGGACAATGCATTGGTCAATAGTGTCAGCAGGTCAAACAAAACAACCTGCATGTTAGTGGGCATCATTTGCATCACTTTTCCATCAAAAAAAAGTTAAGTAAGGGATTACTCTTAATTTTTTCTGTAATTTAATTACAGTTACTTCTGATGTAATTGAGCTAAATAATTTTGTGTAGACCAATCCGATCTCACGGCAATTCGTATGCATTTTATGTGGCTCAATCGTACGACCTCACTCATACAAACTCGAACTACGAATTAGACATCTTGTAAAATAAGCATGATAGTGTAAGTGTAAAATAAGCAAACAATATTGGATTTAAAGTCCCCGTGAAATCAAAATTGAACCTATTTACTTTGTTAGCGCATATTACTAGTCTTGTGGTGAACAATTAATCCGTGCAAGTAAAAATATATTTATAAAATGTTTTACCTTGGTAATCTTTAATCAAAATCTGAAAAGTTACTTCCGGTCTGGAACGGTTTCTTTTTCTGATGACGTAGGTTTCACAGCTTGGGTGGGGAAACGCGTAACCACTCCCCTCAAACCGTTAGTTTGCTATGAGCGAGAGATGGAGAGGAGGAGCGCTAGAGTAAAACCCTGCCCTCTGTTCAATATTCCGTTTCACTTGGAAATACGTGACAGCACTGGAGAAAAATCGTTTGCAACTTCCGGTTCACGGGGACTTTAACATCAAAATGTATTGTCTGATGTCAAAAAGAATGTTTATTATGCAACCTCCCTTTAAATTTTTTGGTCAGTTTAAGAATAATTCACACAATTTTATAGTATTTATTTGAAAGAATTAAAACAGTTTCGTGTCGATCATTGTATTATTCAGCTGATTGAGGTTGATATGGGATTTAGTAATTAGTAATTATAAGTAATAAAATACTTTTTAGAGAGAGTAATTAGTACAGTGCAATCAAATGTACACTGTTGAAGAGTAATCAAGAGTAACTAGTAATGAATTACTTTTTTTGTATTAACTTGCCCATCAGTGTTAGTGACACTAGTAGCCTACAGGAGTGGTGAACAATACCTGGTCGATTTCGATGAGCTGAGCGTTTGCCCCTGGCCACTCGATGGCCACCTTCACGATGTCCGACGGCGGCGGCATGACTGAAACACACACACACCCTCAGATCACACACACATCAATGACACGCTTTTTTACCACGGATATCAAAGCTATGGCTTGTTTCCGCCACAGAATAAAACATTTTAAATGATATTAGCGAATTTTTATCTCACAATTGTGAGTTTATATAACGCAATTATTTCTGACCATATATATCGCACAATTCTGACTATATATCACGCAATTATGACTTTATAACACACAATTCTGACTTTATAACACAATTATGTCTTTTTATCAGGCAATTCTAACTTTATAACACACAATTCTGACTTTATAACATGCAATTCTGACTTTATAACATGCAATTGCGACTATATATCACACAATTCTGACTTTATAACATGCAATTGCGACTATATATAAAGCAATTCTCAGACTTTCTCACTTAATAACATGCAATTGCAACTATATAATCACACAATTCTGAGTTTATAACACACAATTGTGACCATATCACACAATTCTGACTTTATAACACACAATTGCGACTTTATATCACAAAATTCTGACTTTATAACACAATTGCGACTATATATCAAGCAATTCTGACTTAATAACATGCAATTGCGACTATATATCACACAATTCTGACTTTATAACACACAATTCTGACTTAATAACATGCAATTATGACTTTATAACACACAACTCTGACTTTATATAACACAATTGCGACTATATATCACACAATTCTCACTATATAACACACAGCTGCGACTATATATCGCAATTCTGACTTAAAAAACAGGCAATTGCGACTATATATCACACAATTCTGACTTTATAACACACAATTCTGACTTAATAACACGCAATTCTGACTTTAAAACACACAATTCGGTCTTTATAACACCCAATTGCGACTATATATCACACAATTCTGACTTTATATCAAGCAATTCTGACTTTAACACAAAATTCGACATTATAACTTTATAACACACAACTGGAACTTTATATCACAAAATTCTGACTTTATAACACGCAATTGCGACTTTATATCATGCAATTCTGACTTTATATCACACAATTGCTATTATATATCATGAAATTCTGACTTTGTATCACACAATTGTGACCATATCATGCAATTCTGACTTTATATCACACAATTGCGACTTTATATCACACAGTTCTGACTTTATAACACACAATTACGACCATATCACACAATTCTGAGAAAAAAAGTCGCAATTACCTTTTTTATTTTTATTCTATGGTGGAAACAAGCTTCCATACAAATCAGCAAATGGCACATTCACAACATATTTAAACAACAGAATATATCGGTTTCTGCTCTCCCATTGGTAGTCTCTGCATCACTGCTCATTTGCATATCCGTCGCTTGGCCAGCGGTGGGCAACTCTCACAGAAACTCACTGACGTGCGCGGGCTGTGAAACGCTGAACACACATCAGTATTCTGCACACACAACACCGACTCTGACATGCTTTCTTATAGAAATGTGAACAGAGCTCAAGATGAATCTTTTTTTTTTTCGGATTATAACAACAGAGAGAACATTAAATCAAATTTTGGCTCAAGAAGATTCTTAAATAGTTTCTATTATGTGTTTATCCACATTTTACATTAGTGTTTCAATTATTGCCTGCATCACTCATGAAGATACTCATAAAAAGCAGAATAATATTGCTTTAAACTACCTAGAAACACAGAATAATATGCATATCGGGTTGCATACAGTTCATTAACTTCTCAAAAACTTCCCAGTTTAAGTCAAAGTTCCCAGACAGCCACCGCCCTAGGGACTTTAGTAACAACTCGAATCATACCTGTAGTTTTCACATAAACCTGAAGGACTTGATTAGCTGGATCAGGCAAAAGTTATAACGATTTCATTCTTCATAATTTCATTTCCTCAATGTTATCTTATCTTACAACCTTAATTCTTAGGTAACACTTTAATTTATAGATGTTACACATTTTACACATACTAACAGTAAATTATGCATAACCCTAATTACAAGCAAATAGCCCTAAAGAAAACCCGGTAGCACTTTATTTTAGTCCTGCTCTGTACAATAATAACTAGGAAATGAGTTTTGACCCTTAATAACATTATATTACCCAGCACTTTCTTTACATTTACTATAAAATAAAGTGCAACCCCAAACCCTACAGTAAACAAGTCCTTAAGTATAACTGTAACAAGGACACCTTAAATTAAAGTATAACCCAGATTTTTTTTAAAAAAAGTTATGTTTCCTAAGAGAAATGAATCACCATGGTTACACAGACAGGATTCTAAACTAGAATTCTACACAAACGACCCCTCTGACATAATCGAGATGACGTCACAGCGAACCGACTACAACAATCCGTGTTTTTCTTGTCATTTATGCTTATAGATTTCGCACGGTGATATAATCTGTGACACTGTGTCTGGTGTGCGTTTAGTGTTTGATTGTGTCAGGAATAGTTCGACACATATCGAGATGAAAGAATGAACATGACGTTTAAACACAATGACACTAGTAAACTCGAACGTTACTGAATGTGCGTCCATTTAATGTGAATTAAAATCGCATCGCTATCGGAAGCGTTCACACACGTCACGCGTTCTCCGCAATCTCAGGCGCATCGATCATAAAACGTCAAATGGAGATGAATTCCCATGAAATCTCCATCTGGCGGCATGCAAATAGCGCAAATATCATTCTGACAGCGCTGTCATGCAGAAAGCGAGGGTGTTTTCATGCTTATGTGATATTCTTACCCCAAAACCAGCGATAAAACAGTGATGTGTGTGAGCTGCTGTTCAGATGGAGGCTGATGGGCGGAGTCTACGCCATTACATCTTCATCACCGCACTTCTCCTCAATCTGATCACCACATGCATCTGTTATATACCTCTAATCGTACTATATGATCCAGTACAGAGCGAGCTTTAACCGCTGTATTGTGCACGAGTGATTCAGCCCTCCGTCTGGCCCCGCCCACAGATCGCAGAAGCCAATCAGCACACGCGCTGCAGTGATTGATGTGATCAAGCCCCGCCCTGTGGTTCACTGCAGCGGATCAGTCCATGAGCAGATCTGGGGAACGACTTCATGACTGGTTGACTCGAGACAGATGGGTAAAAGTACTGGGAATAAAGGCTGATGATGTGCAAAAAACATGATGTGGAAACTCGATGATTAAATTAAATATAGAAGTGGATTTGTTGAACACATCTCAATCATGACCTACTCTGTAGAAATGCATGTTAAGTAGAATTAAATTGCATTTTTTTTATTCTTGCATTGTCTATTCTAGTTGTTTTTGCTATGCTATTTATCAACGAAGCTGCTTATACTCTCTAGTTTCTAATGTTTTATTGATTCATGTTTTTATCTTGTATTTTGACTGGGACCTTAGTACACAGTTTTGTCCCTTCATGTGGAAATGTGCATGGAATGACAATAAAGACCCAAACCCTTAAAATGCAAAAATACAGAAGCAAATATTAACCACAGAACAGAAGCATCAACACATATAGATATAGTGTGTGTATGTGTGTTGCACATGTGAAGTGTCATGTTTCCTTCTAACTTTAACTTGAATAAAATCTTGCAGACACACTGGATGCATACAGCAGTGAAGTTTGATTCATGTACGCTGACGTCATGAAAGGAGGATGCATGACGTGACATCAGTGACATCCTTTCTGCTGAACATCTGAACTGACTAACACACGTTCAGCACATTACTGACTGAGCATGTTTAATGCTCTTACGCCACCTCCAGATCTTCATTGCTGCAAGTGGCTGCTATGGATACAGCTTCACTGTTACTCAGTCGTCATGGAAACATGTCTTTGAACCCACGACCTCATCACTGCAAGCACCACACTACTGTTCGAGCTATTAAATTCCCTTAAATCATCCGACATCAGCATTTTAACTGTGTTATGATGTAATAAACATTAAAACATCTCTAAAGATGACATGTACAATATTACAATATTTAGCCTCAAGTTACTCTAAAATTACACCAGAAGGACGCATTTCCATCATTAGCAATCCGTCATGTGCCAGCTTTCGTCCAGCATCATGTGCATTGAAGTGAAAATCCAGCTATTAATATTAAATTTGTCTATGTGGTGTTTTTAATATGCTTTAAGACACATCATGTGCAAATTCATAAGTCGACAGCATTGCTGAGTATTTTCTGCTTAAAACTGCAGTGAACCAAAGACAGTCTCAAAAACACGGTTTGAAATCAATGGTGTTTCTGACGTCACAAACTACCTTGTAACCAATCAGATCAACGTGTGATCGTCAACCTCGCTCCACGCATACTAAACGAGGGTGTTAAGTTCCATTCAATGTATTTTAAGGCATAAAGAATTTTTTTTTCCAAGGAAAAAACTTTTAAAAATGTCATTTTGATGATCAAAGATGAGTTTTAAGTGATAAAATTATTGACTAAAGAGAGACTTTAAGGCTTTAGTGTTTGTAGATGAGGCGCTTCAGATGTGAGTTCGGGTGGAGATCGGCAACTCAGGTCTGGAAAGTGACTTTGTACCTCAGTGTGAAGGAACAGGAAGATTCAATGCCAGTCCACTCTTGAAATGACAAGAGCCTTGCCTGAAAAGCTGCACTGCAAACACTGATAGGAAAATCACGTGAGGCTGTACAGAGAACAGGAGAGGACTGAACACTGAGCCTTGAGGCACACCGCATCTGTAACGCCTTTGTTCATGGCCCATTTGAAAGCATTTCCACGAAGAAAATAACATTCAGTCAACGGATCACAGATTACATTTTTCTAAATGTCATAATCATTTGCTAACAAACAAGTATTGATCACTTCAATGAGCTCATTGTTACTGCCTTCAATTATCACATTGTTTAAATTCATGCATTTTTAGCTAACTGTGATTTTGTACAGGTTAAAGGGATAGTTCACTTTGAAATTACTTTTTGATATGTTTTATCTTACCTTAAGGGCATCCAAGACGTAGGTGTCTTTGTTTCCACAGTAGTTTCAATTTTGATATTTTTAGGTCAAACCGTTCTTGTCTGTCAGTCATATGGAGGTATATGGGGTCCACCTCAAAGAGCATGCACAGAGAAGTCCAAATTAAACATGATTTAATGACTCGTAAATGTAAGAACACATTGATGGCCTAAAGCACGAAACGAGCGGTTTGTGTGAGAAAACGAACAGTATTTATATTGTTTTTACCTCATGTAACCACAGCCACGTCTGTGCAAGCACCGGAAGTGATCTCTTGCGCTTGTACGTCACTCATTGTTTGCACAGAGATTTCGGAAGCGTTACCCTTCACTGTGAAGTAGAGGCTGACATTTTTTCGGGAATCCCACGGGTCCCGGGATTCCCGTGGGATTCCCGCAGGATGGGAGTCATCTTTGCTATTAATCACGGGATTTGGACGGTACAGGATAAATGGTTAGCGGGAGCAGACGGGAGCGGGAATCAACCAATAGCAAAGACGACAAAAAAAAAGCAAAAAGTAAATGCACCATTTTGTAGTTTCCTTTTAATACGCCTGAAATGTAGCGAAATTAAAAAATAACTACACGACCCAGCCGTTCCAGAAGCCATCAGTGCTTTTTGTCACGGCTTACCGCCGGAATTCAAAGAGCAGTGATGGAGGGAGCTAATAGCCGCGGAGAAGTCGATGTGGCAAAAAAAAATATTTACAGCGCAAAATCAGAATTAATGACATGTCTATTAAGTTCACAGAACTGGTCGGAAAGTCTGAAAAATTAAGTATGTGAGAGTAGAATGTGACGGTGATTGCACGATGTACGCTGCTTGTAAGACATGCATAAAAGGGGGTCGCACACCGGACGAGAAGCGCCGCGCCGTGTCTAGGACAACTCCAGGTAACGTATCGCACACTGGACGCGCACTTTCTCATCAGTGTATGGCCATCAATATTGTTATGTTTAATGACATGAAATGAAGATAATGTCTGTTCTATGTTAGATTGTACTGTACAATTAAATACAATCATTACTGAGTCTGCAGTCTGAAAACTTTACCTCAGAGCATCCGTTAACTGAATGAATTGAGAATCTCAACTGAAAAATCCAATAACATCAGCAATTGTCATTCAAGCAGCTGATTTCTGTAAATGAATGCAAAACTAAATGTAGGCCTATATTACTGGGTGAAGTCAGGATACATTAGCAACGATTTGAGACAAAAATACTTTAAATTTTATATAAAACTATGTAAATGGCGCTCTGTGGCACAGCAGGGTTTTGAACACGGTCCTGAGCCGTCGCTGGGCGCGCGGACAGACACAGAATGTGTTCAAATTTTAAAGATTCTGCGCGGCGCTGAGCTTCTCGTCCGGTGTGCGACCCCCCTTTAGTCAAGTAGCAAGTGATTCAGGGATGAGCGGTCTGAAGAGGCACGCAAATTCAGGAAAGAATAAGCCATGTTGCAGCCTACACAGCAACATATAACTAAAATTTGTCTCATTATGCAAGAGCATAATTGATGAAAATCGTTTAAAATGTAATTAAAAAAAACTATAAATGTAAACTGTAAATGTATTGTTTACTCAACAATAAATGAGTAAAATGCAGCTTTATGTGCTGTTTGGGTTTATTAAATTGTAGACATGGTGTGATGTACTGTTTTTCTTTTATTTACTGTCTTCCATTTTCTGGAGAAAATCTAGAAACTGGGGCTCAGCAGCTGGTCTAAAACCGGATGGATTGGAGAGGATGCAGAATTGCAGATTAAATCAAATTCTATGTATTAACTAAACATTAATTGAAGAAAAAATATATATGGGAGCGGTACAGGAGTGGGAGTCAGTTTAAACAGGAGTGGGATGGGAGTGGGAGTCAATTTACCAGGAGCGGGATGGGATGGGATTATTTTTTAAACTTTGGTCTGGGAGTGGGACGGGACAAGATTTCTTTCTATGGGAGTGGGACGGGACAGGAGTGAAAATCCACTCCCGTGTCATCCTCTACTGTGAAGATCTAAACATATTTAGATATACAGGAAATCGCAATGTAAGACGATTTCGATATATCAAACAGACAACGTTGAATTTTTTTTCGCAACCGCGTGAAAGATCACTTCCGGCGCTTTCCAGCGCTCGCGCAGAGTGAAGCGCCCGCGGCCTCAGATCACTTGGACGTGGCTGTGGTTACAAGAGGTAAAAACGATATAAATACTGTTCGTTTTCTCACACAAACCGCTCGTTTCGTGTCTTAGGCCATCAATGTGTATTTACCAGTCCCTCCAGAAAAACGCGATTATGCGATCGCTGAATTCAATGGAAAATCAGTCCGCATATTTATGCGGGGCCGCATTTTTTCAAATACGCCGCACTTTCGCCTGATTTCATAATCCTCGCATTTTCGTTGCAAAAAAGTCACATGTATCTTAGCAGAAAGTTGAAAAATGTTGCGTTTGCTTCACACAAGAGCAGCCATTTCCCCCTGTTTCCATGGGAACGTTATGAAGTGACGCAATTACGCGACGGGATAGCTCAGACAGACTCACGGAGGCGATTGACATCTCACAAATCGAACTCGTATAACTGTCTGTCACACGTTCTACCGTCACGTCGTTACTTAATAAACAACATAAGATATAAGAAGTAGCATCAAACAGAAATTATCCGCACACATGGGGTGTTCGAGGCGCACATATAACACTGCAGAGAGTTCAACAGGGAGCGCGCAGCTCTTAAAGGGGCCACACCTTATTTACACTTGTTACAGTCTGAAATAAAACAAGATGAGAAATTAAATATTCCCAGCGCTTTCTATGATGTAGTATGCTTGTTTATCAAAGGAAGTAATAAGAAATGACTCTTACATTAGCCTAGTGAGAACAGGATGTTGGGGGAATCACTTTTTTTCTCTTTTTCATCAAACCGCAATTTTTGCAAGTTCCCTCAATTTTTGCAAATTCCTGCAATTTCATCGCATAAAATTGCATAAATATCACGCATATT